AGGTAGATACTGTTCTACTTGATAGGCAGATTATTTTACAGCAGAGTCAACAGAATTTAGTCAGTGCTCAGCAATCTATGAAGGAGAGAGCAGATCACAAGCGAAGGGATGTGTAGTTCAAGGTAGGTGACTTTGTTTGGGTTCATCTACAAACTTACAGGCAGTCATCAGTTGCCGAGAGAATGAGTAATAAACTGTCCCGCAGATATTTTGGACCATTTTCCATTGTAAAAAGGATTGGTCAGGTTGCATGCAGGTTGGAGCTTCCACCAAATGCAAAGATCCACCATACTTTTCATGTTTCTCTCTTCAAACCATACATAGGAGACAATCATGTTCCTCTTTTTCCTTTACCTGAAGTATTTACTAAAGGCATGCCTATTCTGGAACCATTAGACATTATGGACAGTAGAAGAAATGCCTCAGGAGATCAGCAACAAATAGAAATTAAAGTGATTTGGAGTGGAATGCCACAAGAAACAGCAACTTGGGAAAAATTACACGAGTTTAGAAGACACTATCCACATTTTAACCTTGAGGACAAGGTTATTCTTAATGGGGTGGGTATTGATATGAGTGAAATACATGAAATGGGAGCTGGGCCAGCAGATGAAGCCAGGAATTGAGGCCCAACAAGGAGAAGAAGAGAACAACAATGCAATAGAGGATAGCATTGCTGGAAGGAAGGCTAGAAGAATAATTAGAAGGCCCAAGAGGTTCACATGTACTGAGGTGTAACTTGATGGGAGTCTTGTCAGTTAGCCGTTAGTGACACCCACATTGGGTGGGAAACATGACTTGTATAAATAGGATCCATTGTAACCATAAGTGATTGTTGAATATACTTTGCAGTGAATAAAAGATCGTTCTCTTTTCTCATCTCTTTCTTTCGAATCCCTCTTTCCCTCTCCTTTGTTGATTCTGTACTTTGGGTAGGTTCATCCTATCAGAGAGTCACTGAAGAGAGTTAGGCTCTGATTTTGCATTTGACTCTGAGGATCTTGTGGCTGCAACTATGGATAATGTAACTCTGGACAAGATGAATATCCAACGTGTACATCACTGGATGACATAAGCAGTTTAAAGTCTCTAACATAAAAAAGTGTAAAGTTGGTAAGAAGGCATCTATAGCTAATGAACTGTCTCATCTATACTAGAGCTAGATCCAGGTTTGGAGGCTACCAGTCCAGTTTCTGGGGAAAGGTATAAAAGGTTGGACTTCAAAAAACTGTTATGTAAATTTCCTTTCATATTATAAGGTTTAAAATACTATTCTATGATTCTGCATGCAATTTCATGGTCTTCCCTTCTTATTTGAAGTAAGATATACATATACAAGACCAATGATACATCATACATAATTCTTTTTCTAATGGTGGTCTTTCATATTAACCTCTATTTAAATTTGATTCTTCTGTGATCTATTGACGAATACCACGACCTATTGCCCTGTGGTTAATAACACTGATTGAGAGATCCGAAGATGATCGTCCGGAGTATAATAACACTGATTGAGAGATCTTTCAGATCTTTCAGATCGTCAGCTGGCATCTCGGTGAATTTGCTTTCTGTTCTCAAAATGTTTCACTATTTTTTGTATTTTTTATAGTAGTTTTCTTTTTCCAGGTTTAGATCATGTCACTTTTTTTGAGGGATTTACTCAAGTCACAATACAAAAGGCAAAAAGGTAGAGGATGGTGGTTTTGATTTGCATAACGATTTACAGCATATAGCGCTCGTTTGTACTGATATTGATGAACTTTACGGCTGGAATTGTTGATCGATTACATGTGAGAGTGAAGATAGCGAGGACAGATTTCCATCAATAAAAATAAAATAAAAAAGAACGAGGACAATCTTAAAATTTCACATCACTCATTTATGTGTGTGTATATATATGGGAGATCCAAATGGGTTGGGCGCGTGCACTCACGCGAGAGAAAAAATTTCTTTTTGCTAGGGTTCTATTTTTTTAGTGGGAAGATTGGGGTTTCCACGGGTGAACCAAGTGAGAGAGCTTTTGAATTACTGTCCAATGCAAGAAAAAGAGTGAAAAGATCAAAGAATGAAGGGGAAATTTCCACAGAGACAATGATTTGTGAGGCAATTTTGGAATTCCAGTCTGATGAATCGACGAATTTGGAATATAAGTGATTGTAGAAACTATTTTTTGAGTATTCCTGAAGTGATTGTAGAAACGCCTATTAATCAACCCCTGCCCTAAGGTGTTGGACCTTGGATGGTAGTCCAAAGGAAGAAAAAACCCGAACATGCTACTTAGAAAAAAGAACTAATTAAAGGTAGGACTTTTGGGTCTGATCAAACTAACAAAAAGAATATGTCTACCACTAAGAATTGACTTGAAAAAGGTAGGAATAAGCTTGGGATGAATACTAAGATACAAAACTTCTCTGTCAAATTAGCTTCAGCAAGAACCAGAGAGAACAGTCCTGAACCCTTACATCTTTTCCTGTCATGAATTTCTCTATTGCAACTCCTAATTTTAATATCAAGAAAGGATCTGCATCTAAACCAAAAACTCAGTTAATTGAGACAGTTGTTGAGTGTAATGTTACTATAGCAAAAAGGGGAATAAAATCTATAGCAACTACTGCAGCACAAGTATACGCATCAGAAATAATATAGGATTCAAGAGCCCAGATTATCACCCCAAAGAGAAACTTATAGGGTTCAAGAAGTAGGTTCAAAATGTTAATAAAACCGGACTGATCCGGCCGGGTTAATCCGGGAATCGATAAACCAGTCATATAAAGGTCCGGTTGATGCAATGGATCGGCCATGCATCAGAACCGGTATGACCCTGTGCGACCGACCGGTTTTCATGAGAACCGGTGACCTGACCCGGTTCCAAAAAAAAATTATTCCAATTTTTTAAAAATAAAGTAAAATCATAATGGACATATTTGAATATTTTTTAGCTTATTAACTTACATAAGTTATGTACATACAATACTAATATTATCTCAATTATGCACTATGTAGAAAATTTTGATTTGATTTATAGTTAGAGATTTCGTTTACTGAATCTGAAACCCCATATTATGAGTATTATATTTTTGTTTGATCCTTTATTGAATAATAATACGTGATTTATTATTTTTATATTAAAATATTTGAAATTCTTATCATTTTTTTTAGATATTTGAGTATGTTTATAATTTTTTAATATAAATTATAGAATTGCATATAATTACCGAGTCATGCGATTGGACCAGTGACCCACTCGTTGAACCAGTGACTCAATACCTTGACTGGATCAATGACCGGCCTGGTTTAATGTTCAATTATAAAAAGAAAAAAGAATATGGAGACACATTGAGGACCCATAACAATTAGTGTGCTACATTATTGATTGTATTTTGGCACTAATTTTTACCATACTATTATATGCCCATGATTCATGAAAGTGTAATATGTATTGTATGTGAGTATGATGTATTGTATGTGAGTATGAGATGTCATATATTATAGTATTTTCAGCATATTAACCACTATGTTCCTATGATAGAGTTATATTGGATTTGGTTGGCTTGAAATGTTGAATTGAAATATTATTTTTCAAAATTGTGGCTACATACAATTATTTTCTAGTTATTAACTCGATAGTCGTTTTCAAAATAGATATTATATTAATTAATGTAGCCCAAATGAGAGAGTGTTATAATTTTTTCAATATGTGAGCTCTATTAATTAATTATGTTTTAGAATTTCAAAATATTTCAATTCAATTACTTATCTAATTAAGCTCATTGTGATCCATTTTGTATTAATTATGTTTCATTATGAACTTGATTTTCATGATTGCTAAATCTAGTGAACACAACTCTTTTTATTAGGGATTATTGGTTAGACCCCTTTCCAAAACTATAGCTTAGGTCATTCATATTGGTCCTCAATATAGCCAGTTTTTTTTTCTTATCTAATATTTTGATTTTGAAGTTAATATATGAAAGACAGTTATTTTTCTTTTTTTCTTTTTTTTGGTACAATCTAACTGATTCATCGTTCCAACTAATTTGGTTCGACCGTTGAAGGACTCTATTAAGGGAATAGCTCTCCCAAATTCATTATTTTCATTCTCAGTACTCAAACTCGAGACCTTTTGTTAAGAGACATAAGCTCCTTATCAGTTAAGCCAATGAATATTGGTGAAAAATTATCATTTTTTTGTGACAAGAAAAGAGATAAATCTTTGGTGCAACTAGTGCACTCAACTCATTGCATATTCTTTCTATATAAGGGAAGTTTTATCTCATTTCAATCCTTATCTTCTTTTCTTTTTTTTTTGTATTTTCCTCTATGTCTCCACCAAAGATTTGTCCCAAGAAAAGATGATGATTTTCTTTTATAATACTATCAAATAAAGAAAGTTCATCTTTAACAAATAATTTAATTCAATTGTTTTTTTCCTCTTTAGTTATGTATATAAATAGTAATACGGAAAACATTTTCTCATGTTGCATGAGAATTCAATTCTCATGTTGCATGAGAATTCAATTCTCATGTTGTGACCCTTCGAGTTGCGTGCAAAATATATTTTTTTTTATAATAAATGTGGGACCCACCACTAGTTGAGTCACGACATGAGAATTGCAACATGAGAAAATCAAACCCCATGGTAATATGCTATAATCTGATTTATTTGAACAGATTTGTTTTCCTTTTTCTTTATAAATGTTTCCATAGTTACTGTAAAAGTACGTTGTTTTTCCTTTTTTACAAAAAGGAAAAAGATTTTAGCAATTGCGTAAACAGGTTGTAGAAGTAGGAAGCAGGGTGGGTGAAGAGCGCGGCATGGAGATTTTGAACAGATGAAATGGCGGCATTTTCCCCCGCAGAAACCAAATTAATAATAAAAAAAGAAGAAAGGTAAGATTGATTCTTTTTTTTCTTTTTTTTATTTATAAGAAGCTGAGTGTGAGTGATCACTGTTGAATTACACCTAACCAACCATGATTCCCTTCCAATCTGACGTGGACATGGCTGAACAGGAAAACAACTGCAAACGGCCGGCGACTCACCCTCCGGAGTTAACTGCGGCGAAGAGGCGGACGGTGCTGAGCGATCTCACCAATTTTGCCAGGAAAACTATAACCAAGAAGAAGACTGAGATAAAGATGACGCACAACACCAATCACCTGTCTTCTTTTTCTTTCATGTACAACCATCTTCATGCCTTGGAGGTATTTATTAATTTCATTATATGTTAGTCAGTGAGTCAGTTAGTTAGTAAGAGCATTGGTTGTTCACGAGTTCAGATGGAGGTGAATAGGAGGCCATTGCCCAATTATATGGAGACAGTTCAGACAGATCTTACAAGCAATATGCGCAGAATTCTGGTGGATTGGTTAGCGGAGGTTGTTAATGGATGCAAGTCTGTTCCCGATACCCTTCATCTTGCTGTTTCTTGCCTTGATCGCTTCCTCTCTGCTCGTCCTATCAAACGGAATCACCTCCAGCTTCTTGGTGTTTCTTGCTTGCTTATTGCCGCGTAACTAATCCTACTCCTAATCATTCATCATTATTTAATTTACATATGTTAATTATTATAACTAACTAATTAACAGGAAACGTGAAGAGATTAATATTCCACATGTGGAAGGCTTCTGCTTCATGACAGATAACGCTTATACCCCCAGAGAGGTTATGGATATGGAGGGTGAGGTCCTCAGAACCTTGAACCCTGACTTGGGCAATCCAACCGCTAAAACATTTCTCAGGCAAGAAATTAAATGTTTCTCATTATCCATAACTTGATTCGCTCTAATTCTTTTTTTTTGTTTGTTTGATTCTTTCTAATTCTATTACCTACTGTTACTCGATGGCAGAATTATTATCAGAGCTGCTGAGATAGATTTACTTATTACCAGAGTTGCTGTGATGGATTTACAGGTATTCTAGGCACAGTTGTACTTGTACTCTACAATTTCCCCTCTTTAACTAAGTGTCTTAGTACTAATTCTTTCGTGTTTATTCTTATTAAATGATTTATATTATATTTTCTAACAAACTATCAAAATATAAAACATATATTGCAATGGAGTTAATGAAAAGTTAATAAAACAAATATTCACTTTAACTTTTCCTTCTTCTGGTGTATATTATAACAATTATTTATGCTGCTGTCACAGTATTGGCTGCAACAATTGGAGTTGTTGGCTTATTATCTACTGGAGCTATGCCTGTTGGAATATGAGTGCATTAAATTCTTACCATCAGTGGCTGCAGCATCGGCTGTATTTCTATCCAGGTTCATAATTGAACCAAGGAAGCATCCATGGGTACGAAACACAGGCAATTTTATTTTCAACTCACTTTAATTATCTTTGCCATCCAAGGGGTCCCACTTCTTGCGGTAGAAATATAACTTTGATGACCTGCGTACTTTGTGATAAGGGTTGTTGAACTGAGAGAGTTAAATTAAAATTGAGTGGCAGGTGTATCTTTTAAGATAAAAGAATGAATAAATCATGTGCATTGGCATCATTGCCTTTTAGCAGTAACCGCATCTTTTTCTTGTTAAGCAGAACCTACTGTTACAACGCAAAACCGGTTATAAGCCATGTGACCTGAAGGAATGTGTCCTTGCCATACATGCGGTGCACTCGACAATCAAAGAAAGTCCTTTACGAGGGATACGAGAAAAATACTTGCAACCCAAGGTATTCTTAGTTTTCATTTAATTTGGCAGTATGCAGCACTTAATTTTTAAACATAGATCTAATCAGAAGTGCACGACCTTTCTACAACAGTTTTCTAGAGTAGCATTATTGACTGCTTGGGAAATTCCTGCAAGTTATCTGGAGGGCACTCCTGACTAAGCATCAGCTGAATTTTGTAAATTAGATACAGTGTTGAACAGCATATGCACCCCGCCCCCTTGATCCCTTTTCACCACTGTAATTATTTTTGGTTCAATGGAGCTCGTAGAGCTGTTTGCAGCAGTAAATGGTCACATATGGAAACAAATGGAAAAAAAATTGTAAAATAAAATAAAAATGTCATTGAATACATATGGAAACAAATTTCCTTGGTGGTGATATAGGAAACATGTCTTGTTACTTTCATTTATTTTAATTTCAACCATTTGATTTTGGGAACAAAAAAGTCGTTACAAAAAGTGTTCCAGTTAAAATGATCAAATAAAATATAGACTATATGGATACAATTGAATATGGATAGTACTAAGAAATGTTCACTCATATGAAATGAATAAAATAAAAATGAGACTGAGATGGTTTTACCAAAATAAAAAATAAAAAATTCTAATAAATGTTTATACGTAGTTGTTGTTATAATGAAACTTGTATTTAAATTGAGGGATGTAATTACTGAATCAAATTTTAATTATATTTTTAAACCTTGCCGGCAATGAAGTCAAAAAGTTTGGAAGAAATATTTACAAGCAGTTGTTGTTAGAATGAAATTCTTTTTAAATTGAGTGATAGTGTAAATGTATGTAATTGCCAACCAATAGTGTATAGGCCGCTTCAATTCTGTTTTTCTGTTAGTCTGTTAGGAGTTAGTTTTCTTTTCCCATATGATATAGTGAGTCAGCTGGTGCAAGAAAGAACTCACTCACAGAATGGCAACTCAGAGCTCCATTCCAGATTACGTAACCAACCCATCAAATCCCTTTTTTCTGCATCCGGATGAAAACCCTGCAATCGTTATCCTTGTTTCTCCACTTCTCAATGGCAGAATGAATTATAACACTTGGTCTCGGGCCATGTCCATTGCATTGCTTTCTAAAAACAAATTGGGATTCGTTGATGGCACTATTCCCATTCCTTCGAAGAAAGATCCAATTTATCCAGCTTGGCTACGTTGTAATGCAGTGGTTCTGTCTTGGATTCACAAATCCATTTCAGAATTGATTGCTCAATCAATAGTGTGGAAGGATCTTAAAGAACGTTTTTCTCAGGCTGATGTATTCAGAATTTCTGACATTCAAGATGACATTTTTCGTTTGAAGCAAGGTGATAGGTCAGTTTCAGAATACTTCACTCAATTAAAAATTCTTTGGGATGAACTAGAAATTTTACAGCCTTTATCCTTGTGTAAGTGTATAAATCCTTGTTCTTGTGGAGCTATGGCACAAATGAGAACTATTAGAGACGGAGATCATGCTATTAGATTCCTCAAAGGCCTCAATGATCAATATGCTAATGTGAGATCACAAATTATGCTTCTTGACCCTCTCCCTACTGTCAATCGAATTTTTGCTTTCATAGCTCAACATGAGAGACAATTGAATTTAGATGCAAATATATTAGAAAACTCCTTTGAACAATCTCATGTTCGTGATGGTGGATCTTTTAATACGTGGAGGGGCCGTTCAAATATCAGCAAAGGTAGAGGAAATGACAATAGATTGTGCTCTCACTGTGGTAAGATTAATCATACCACAGATACCTGCTTCCTCAAACATGGATTCCCACCTGAATACAAAACTAGGAATCCACATGCTGCTAATAATGTGTCTCAAGCTTGTGTTACTTATCCTGCTGGCGAAGAGAATAATCAGATTAAGAATGCTTTTAACCAGATGTTCTCAGAAGAACAATATCAAAGTACCTTGAATTTGATTCAGCATTCGAAGCAAGTTGATGATTCCTCTGAGCACACTTCCAATCTTGCTCAGACTTGCACTTTTAATGTTGATACGACTGCTTCAGGTAATCATTCCTCCGAGCAACTAATGCAATAAAGCCTATTTCTCCACAATGCATAAAATTAGACCTGCTTCCATTACTCTTCCAAACAGTGCTAGTGTCATTGCTCATTATTCACTATTCAGGAAAAGTCAATATTCCTGATACATTAACCTTGTTGAATGTACTATATGTTCCTCTTTTCCATGTCATTTTAATTTCAGTCACTTAGCCCCTTAGAGATCTGCTTTAGTTTTTTGTCGCCTGACCTGTTCAATTCAACAGATCAAATCCTTGAGGACGATTGGTACAGCTAAACGGCAACATGGACTGTATGTTCTCAATCACCATCCAATATCCATCATCTGCTGCAGCAAATTAGTGCCAAAATAAATCTTCAGACACAGCCAAACTATGGCATCTTAGACCTGGCCGCATTTCTAATACAACTTTAGAACATATGTCTACTTCCTTCCCTGTATTCCAGCAGAAGTAGTCTCTCCTTGTGATCTATGTCATTTTGCAAGGCAAAAGAAACTTCCATGTTGTAATAGTCTCACTAAAACACTACACATGTATTTGAATTGATTCATGGAGATAATCGGGGACCTTACACAGTTTCTTCAATACATAAATACAAATATCTTCTTATCTTGGTGGATGATTTCTCTCGTTGATAACGGACGACTAGTGGTAGTAATGAACTCATTATATCAGCTTTAGTAATGAACTCATTCAAACTTTGCATACGTTGGCAGCATCTCATCCCGCACATAAATAGAATATCATCCACAAAGTCCAAAGCGCGAGGGATTGTCGTTGCTCATATATATAATCACGCTCACGATCATGTTAACAAGAAACATAAAAAGTATCCATTCTCATCCATTCCCTATTATCTTATATCTAGGTCCCAACACTTTGTTCCTACCGATCCCGTTGACATTTCTGCCTGTGGCTGTGAACGATAACTTAAATGCATTAAATATATCAAATCAAAATAGTTTATTTTAATTCGTAATTAAGATTCCGTTGTTATTTTAAGACAAGATTCCGCAGAGAAATTGTAAACTGGTGCTGCAATATATTTAGTTGGTTCCGCACTAGGCTATTACGAATATACAAAGTGAAATTCGGACATTATCTGAAAGGAAAGTGCTAAATGCTAGATGGAAAACAAATATTACTAAGGTGTTTTACGAAATTACATCTGGAAACCTATTGTCAGTACCATGAGAAAAGGAGTTTTTCCTAAGAAAAAGAAAACATAAGAATTGTTACTTCAAATCCCGAAATTCAGGAAGTAGCCACTTTTGAAAGAGAGCATGTATTTAAGCACTTCAACTTTCCATTGAACTTGAAAAAGACGCCGGAAACTAAGTTTGCGGTGACCATGGTGTAAAACTATTTGTCTCAGGTGTAATATTACGTGTCAGTTGATTTAATTAATAAAAAGGGCATAATGGTAATTGACGGTTTAAGGGAGTTGGGAAGTTATTTATGAATAAATAACTGGTGACAGATTCAGTTATTATAAGAGTTTTTGGTAGTTTTCTGAGAACAGTATCTTCAGAGAAACTCTCCTTCATTGTCTGCCCATCATAGTTGTATCCAATCACTGTCAAAGAAGATACAAGTAGAGAAAAGGGTCAAGACTCTGAGAAAGTCATTCCACCATCAAAGTTCTTCCGCACTAATGGAGAAAGGTACACCCTTATGTGAAAACCATGAATTCTAAAGATCTTGTATCATGTTCTTGAATGATCATTGTTGAACATGTATTATTGATTTACTGATGAAATTAACTTACATGTGGTATCAGAGCATGTGTTTAAGGATTTGTGTTTTTCCATAAATAATTATAAATGAATTTTTGATTCATGAAAAGTTAGGGTTTTGAAAATAAAATTCACGGTTATTATTAAAAAACTCACGAAAGCCATTAATGGAATTCACGTATTGGACAACGTCATTCACATATTAGGCAATAACCATTTGGTTTTATGCACTGTACATTTTTTCGGTTTTGCCAATTATAAGATTTACTATCAACATTCAGATAAAAGGATTTAGATGTTTGAAGTTGGTACTTTTGGTATATGAGTTTGCTTTTCGGTTTTCGTGCTTATGGACAAAAAAGCCTCAATTGATTTGAATGAAATCGTGAACCACTGTTGGTATTACGGAAAAGTGAATGATATTGGATTTCATATTATTCTTGAAATCAATTAACTGTGCATCATGATTAATGGATTATATTGCCATTCGGTTTTCGGTAACAGTGCGTTGGATTTCACTTCCATTTACATATTAATGGATAATATTGCCATTCGATTTTCGTGTTTTGGAATACTGCAACCTTCACGGTTTGGAAACTTGTTTTTTATTTTTATTTTTTATTTCTCTAAACCGTAAATGCTTATGTGACGTGGTTGATTAAAATTAAATGTGAAAATTTAATCCTATTATTGTTTATGATATATTAAAGTTTTGGAATTAATTAGCGTAGATTTGTTAGTCACCAAAGTGGCCAAATCTTGAAGAGTTATTTTAATTTCAAATATTATGAATTTTATTTCAATTACCATGACTGTGATGCTGTGAATAGTATGATATAATTATTCATGTTGTGGTATATTGAAGTTCATTATTATAGAACAGTTAGGGATCAACCCAAAGGTTGATTATTTGTTTTATAAAATGAACATGGATGTTGGTATTGTTGGCATATTTCCTTGCATTTGGACATCCAAAGATGACAAATATTTATGATAGGGGTATGCATCATTGCCAAATTATGTGAAATTTATATAGCATCATTATAGTTAATGTTGTATGTTAATGGATCCCCAAAGGTGAACATTGATATGCATTGAAGTAAGTATAGTTGAATCTGTGAAGTATGTTAGTATATGACATGTATGACTCAAAGCATTAATGTTTTAAATGTTATTCCTTGCAGTACCTGTTGCTACACATTCCATGTTCTCAACTGTTACAGTTTTTAATGGTTTGAACTTCTCTGAATGGAAAGAGCAAATCCAATTTTACCTTGGGGTAATGGATATGGATATGGCTCTTAGAGAAGAGATACCTGGTGCTATTACTGATGAAAGCACTGAGGATGAAAGGGACCATTTTAAGAACTGGGAAAGATCCAACAGATTAAGTTTGATGTACATGAAAATGAGCATAGCAAGCAACATTAAGTCAGCTCTTCCACAAACTGAAAGTGCCATCGAAATGATGAAACTTGTGGAAGAGCGCTCCCAAACCGCTGATAAGTCTCTTGCTGGACACTTATGAGTACACTGACCACCATGAAGTTTGATGGTTCGCGTACTATGCATGAGCATGTTATTGAAATGACAAACATTGCGGCAAAATTGAAAGCATTGGGAATGGCTGTGGATGAGAACTTCCTGGTGCAGTTCGTATTGAACTCATTACCGTCTGAGTATGGTCCTTTCCAAATGAACTATAATACCATGAAAGACAAATGGAATGTGCATGAATTGCACAGTATGTTAGTTCAGGAGGAAACCAGACTTAAGAATCAGGGAGCTCATTCTATCAATTATGTAAAGCATCAAGGAGCTGAAAAGAATAAAGGAAAGAAGCATGAGAAGAAAGGAGGAGGAGGAGGACCCCTTAAAGTGAATGAGGCCTCTTCTTCTAAAATCCACAAAAAGGAAAGTAATGCAAAGATGAGGTGTCATTTCTGTAAAAAGGAAGGGCATTTCAAAAAGGATTGCCTGAAACGTAAGGCTTGGTTCGAAAAGAAAGGTAAGCCTAGTGCTTATGTATGTTATGAATCAAACCTGGCTGAAGTTCCTTATAATACTTGGTGGATTGATTCTGGTTGTACTACTCATGTTTCTAATACAATGCAGGGATTTCTTATGACCCAAACCACAAAGCCAAATGAAAAGTTTGTCCTTATGGGCAATAGAGTGAAAGTTCCGGTGGAAGCTGTTGGGACTTACCGTTTAATTCTCGATAGTGGATTTCATTTGGATTTATGTGAAACTCTTTATGTACCTAGTATATCTAGGAATTTGGTTTCAATTTCCAAACTTGATGTTGCTGGTTACTCTTTTAAATTTGGTAGTGGTAGTTTCAGTTTGTACAAGCACAATCATTTGATTGGTAATGATACTTTATGTGATGGATTATATAAATTATGTCTTGATAATCTTTATGCTGAAACGCTTATGACTCTGCATCATAATGTTGGTACTAAACGTGCCTTAATTAATGAATGTTCTGCTTACTTGTGGCACAAACGTTTGGGACACATTTCCAAAGAAAGGATGAAAAGATTGGTAAATAATGAAATCCTTCCGGATTTAGACTTTACTGATTTAAATATTTGTGTGGATTGTATTAAAGGAAAACAAACAAAACACACAAAGAAAGGAGCCACAAGGAGCACTCAGCTTCTTGAAATTATACACACTGATGTATGTGGTCCGTTTGATGTTAATGCTTTCAATAAAGAAAAATATTTTATCACTTTCATTGATGATTATTCACGTTATGGTTATGTCTATTTGCTGCATGATAAGTCTCAAGCTGCAAATGCTTTGGAGATTTATATTAATGAAGTTGAAAGGCAATTAGACAGAAAGGTGAAGATTGTCAGGTCTGATAGGGGTGGTGAATATTATGGAAGGTATGATGAAAGTGGACAACATTCGGGCCCATTTGCTAAATTTCTGGAAAAGCGTGGTATTTGTGCTCAATACACAATGCCCGGTACACCGCAACAGAATGGTGTATCAGAAAGGCGTAATAGGACCTTACTGGATATGGTTAGGAGTATGTTAAGTAATTCTTCTTTACCTGTTTCATTGTGGACTTATGCTCTAAAAACTGCCATGTACGTATTGAATAGGGTTCCTAGTAAGTCAGTTCCAAAGACTCCTTTTGAACTTTGGACTGGAAGGAAACCTAGTATAAGACACCTGCATGTTTGGGGTTGTCAGGCAGAGATTAGATATTACAATCCGCAAGAAAAGAAACTAGATGCAAGGACAATCAGTGGTTATTTCATTAGTTATCCAGAAAAATCGAAAGGGTATAGATTTTACTGTCCTTATCATATTACAAGGATTATTGAATCTGGAAATGCAAGGTTCATTGAGAATGGTGAAGTTAGTGGGAGTAAAACACCACGTAAAGTGGATATTCATGAAGTGAGAGTACAAGTTCCATTACCTTGTAGCTCTAGTAAAGTTATTGTTCCTTATGCTATTGAACCAATCAATAATAATGAAGGACAAGTTAATGATCCCACTACTTATAAAGAGATCATTGTTGATGAACCGAATGAACCCATAGTAGAAGAACCACAACAAATAGCATTAAGAAGATCTCAAAGAGAAATGAGACCTGCTATTTCTAATGATTATGTGGTATATCTACAAGAGTCTGAATTTGACATGGGTATTCAGGATGATCCAGTAACGTTTTCACAAGCCATGAATGGAGAAAATGGTGATAAATGGTTAGATGCTATGAAAGATGAGTTGAAATCTATGGAACAGAATAAGGTCTGGGATCTTGTTGAGTTACCAGAAGGGTGCAAGAGAGTTGGTTGTAAATGGGTCTTTAAGACCAAACGTGACTCTCATGGTAACTTGGAACGTTACAAGGTCAGACTAGTTGCAAAAGGATTCACTCAGAAATATGGCATTGACTATAAAGAAACTTTTTCACCAGTTTCAAAGAAGGATTCTTTAAGAATTATTATGGCATTGGTGGCTCATTATGATCTAGAGTTACACCAAATGGATGTGAAAACCGCCTTTCTAAATGGAAATTTAGATGAAGATGTGTACATGGACCAACCAATGGGATTCATAGAAAAGGGTAAAGAGCACATGGTGTGCAAACTTAAGAAGTCAATATACGGACTTAAACAAGCTTCACGGCAATGGTACCTTAAGTTCAATGATACCGTTGTTTCCTTTGGATTTAAAGAAAACATTGTTGATCGATGTATATATCTGAAGATCAGTGGGAGCAAGTTTATCTTATTGATTCTGTATGTTGATGATATTTTGCTGGCAACTAACGATCTTGGTCTTTTAAATGAGACTAAGAAGTTTCTCTCTAGTAACTTCGAAATGAAAGATATGGGTGAGGCAGCTTATGTGATAGGAATAGAAATATTCCGTGATAGATCACAAAGACTGTTAGGTTTGTCTTAGAAAGCATATATTAATAGAGTTCTAGAGAGATTCAGAATGGAAAACTGCTCATCATCTCCAGTTCCAATTCAGAAAGGAGATAAGTTTAGCCTCATGCAATGTCCTAAAAGTGAATTGGAACGAAAAGAAATGGAGGCAATTCCGTATGCATCATTAGTTGGGAGTTTAATGTATGCTCAGACTTGTACGAGACCAGATATTAGCTTTGCAGTTGGGATGTTGGGTAGATACCAAAGTAATCCCGGTATGGATCACTGGAAAGCTGCAAAGAAAGTTCTGAGATATTTGCAAGGAACTAAAGGTCACTGGATCATTTAATACGTGGAGGGGCCGTTCAAATATCAGCAAAGGTAGAGGAAATGACAATAGATTGTGCTCTCACTGTGGTAAGATTAATCATACCATAGATACCTGCTTCCTCAAACATGGATTCCCACCTGAATACAAAACTAGGAATCCACATGCTGCTAATAATGTGTCTCAAGCTTGTGTTACTTATCCTGCTGGCGAAGAGAATAATCAGAAGAATGCTTTTAACCAGATGTTCTCAGAAGAACAATATCAAAGTACCTTGAATTTGATTCAGCATTCGAAGCAAGTTGATGATTCCTCTGAGCACACTTCCAATCTTGCTCAGACTTGCACTTTTAATGTTGATACGACTGCTTCAGGTAATCATTCCTCCGAGCAACTAATGCAATAAAGCCTATTTCTCCACAATGCATAAAATTAGACCTGTTTCCATTACTCTTCCAAACAGTGCTAGTGTCCTTGCTCATTATTCACTATTCAGGAAAAGTCAATATTCCTGATACATTAACCTTGTTGAATGTACTATTTGTTCCTCTTTTCCATGTCATTTTAATTTCAGTCACTTAGCTCCTTAGAGATCTGCTTTAGTTTTTTGTCGCCTGACTTGTTCAATTCAACAGATCAAATCCTTGAGGACGATTGGTACTGCTAAACAGCAACATGGACTGTATGTTCTCAATCACCATCCACCATCTGCTGCAGCAAATTAGTGCCAAAATAAATCTTCAGACACAGCCAAACTATGGCATCTTAGACTTGGCCGCATTTCTAATACAACTTTACAACATATGTCTACTTCCTTCCCTGTATTCCAGCTGAAGTAGTCTCTCCTTGTGATCTATGTCATTTTGCAAGGCAAAAGAAACTTCCATGTTGTAATAGTCTCACTAACACTACACATGTATTTGAATTGATTCATGGAGATATACGGGACCTTACACAGTTTCTTCAATACATAGATACAAATATCTTCATATCTTGGTGGATGATTTCTCTCGTTTTACTTGAATCATTCTTATGAGAAATAAAAGTGAGACTCGAATGCATTTACAGAACTTCGCTGCATATCTTCAAAATAAGTAACCTTTTGGAGTGATAATGGGGCTGAATTTATGCTGATTTATTTATTTCTTATTAAAGGTATTCTCCATCAGACTTCTTTGTGTTGAATGTCCCATCAAAATGGGGTGGTTGAGAGAAAGCGTTAACATATTCTTAGTGTTACACGTGCTTTGTTCTTTCTAGCACATCTACCTTAAAAGTTGTGGACATATTTTGTGATACATGCTCTGCATCTCATAAATCGATTGACAATTCCCTTAATGCATAACAAGACCCCATCTGGAACTTCAGTTTATTTGATTCATTTTCATTCTGAGATTGTAGTTTTCTCTCGATCATAAGACATTTGTTGATTTCTTGGAAGAAAAACTTTCTACCTTGCTTTGATTTGCATGTGTTGTATTGTCAAATTTCAACATTATTTTCGTGCATATTTTTTTTATTTTTTTTAACTTTATTTGGTTTTTTAAATTTGTGGAAGAAAATCAGTGCACTATAGAACATTGGTTTTATATTGTTTTGATGCTGGATGAGCCTTGCAGGGGTGAACAGAAGCTTGATAGTGAAGACATCTCATTTATTAGAAATGGTTTTGGGGAAGAACACTCCAATCTTGAAACACAGGAAAATTCATTTTAATGCATTTGAATTGATGATCTATGTGGCTGGATCCAGGAAGCCCCTTTCCCACCCGTTGAAGTGGGAAAATGGGCTCCTTTAGATACTTTTTTTTTTCTTCTTCTTCCAAATCTCTTCGTCGATCTTGTCTATTTTGTAATTAAACAGAAAGAAAAAGGTAATCTCTCAATTATTTCTCATACTTGTCGCTCAAATCTGTTCATCCCAAAAAAAACACCAGTGCCAAGCCCGAACAATGACGGCCAGCTAACGGACGACTAGTGGCAGTAATGAACTCATTTATATCAGCTTTAGTAATGAACTCATTCAAACTTTGCATACGTCGGAAGCATCTCATCCCGCACATAAATAGAATACCATCCACAAAGTCCAAAGCGCGAGGGATTGTCGTTGCTCATATAATTCACGCTCACGATCATGTTAACAAGAAACATAAAAAGTATCCATTCTCATCCATTCCCTATTATCTTATATCTAGGTCCCAACACTTTGTTCCTACCGATCCCGTTGACATTTCTGCCTGTGGCTGTGAACGATAACTTAAATGCATTAAATATATCAAATCAAAATAGTTTATTTTAATTCGTAATTAAGATTCCGTTATTATTTCAAGACAAGATTCCGCAGAGAAATTGTAAACTGGTGCTGCAATATATTTAGTTGGTTCCGCACTAGGCTATTACGAATATACAAAGTGAAATTCGGACATTATCTGAAAGGAAAGTGCTAAATGCTAGATGGAAAACAAATATTACTAAGGTGTTTTACGAAATTACTTACATCTGGAAACCTGTTGTCAGTACCATGAGAAAGGAGGTTTTCCTAAGAAAAAGAAAACATAAGAATTGTTACTTCAAATCCCGAAATTCAGGAAGTAGCCACTTTTGAAAGAGAGCATGTATTTAAGCACTTCAACTTTCCATTGAACTTGTAAAAGACGCCGGAAACTAAGTTTGCGGTGACCATGGTTCCTCTATAGTGTATTCTTTTTCTTAAAGTTGTTCCTGTTTGGTCCTCGGACCAAAGACCAACCTCATGAAGATCCCCTTCTCTCCAGCATATGCTAACTGTTGTTCCTCCACGAGCTTTCAAGCCTTTCACAGAGCCATTTGGCCATTTCTCCAGGGGAAGGGCAGGAAGTAAGAAAAGATCGCCCAATGTACTCTGAACAAGCATTTCTGCAACTGCTGCTGAAAAACTGCCAACGAAAATATCCTGAGTTGATGTTCAATCTATCACTGCCTAAAACTTTCTTTTGGGGTTGGCAAAAAGTCAAGTGCAACAAGTTTGAAAGAGGATATCACCCAAAAATTGTGAAGTGAAGAACCGAATTCATATGATTTAGAAAATCACATTGATAATCATGTAATCAAAAGACAATAATATATATTTGAAACTAGCTATTCAACTCCAGGTATGTTGTTTTGGCATTTAATTATTCCTCGTCTGATTAAACAAATGCTTGATTGCTAGAGTGACTTCTTAAATTTGGAAATAACAATGATGCCAAGCCAATGATAATGCTACTGACTTGATTAAAATAAAGACACAAAAGTATCACTTTGATAGATAAGATATTTGATGTTTGTGTACAACTCTTAGAAACAAGTTACCCGAAGTTGGCATCGATCTGAAATGGTGGGTGTGCAGCAAATAAGTTACTGTAAAGTCCACTTTCAAATTGTCTCTCATGATCTGGATCCACCAAGTTGATCAAGCGCTTGATCATCTTATATGCATTAGAACTGTTATGCAGACGTGCCCAGCAAGCAGTTTTCCATGTAGTTGACCATCCTGGACCCTCCTCACCTGTTTCCAAATTTCAAGGATCATCCAGATAACTTTGTTTAAGAAAAGCAGGTAGCCATAATAGCTTCAGCATCCATCTGTCAACTGTAGCACAATTACTATTTATTTCTTTAAAATAAAGGAAATGTGCTTCCTTCATATGCATACTTCCTTTTACATGATGACATTCCCCCCCCCCCCCCCCCCCCCCCCAAGATTTAGAATCCTGTTGGTTGTAATTTTTTAGACTGTGGTACTTCGTATCAGGACTCTCACTATATAAGATCTCCATTTTACAAAAAGGTACAAAGAACAATACTGAACCATGCAGTTTATCAGAAATCAAATAAAGAAAAGAGAATTGTATTTCAGAATTCCAGCAAAACAAAAATAAGTAATCTAATTATTCAGCTTATGCAAACCTCGTTTATAAAGGCTTTTCTCAGCAGCTTCAAAAAGGGCTGGAGTTTCCTTAGAAGTAATCGTATGCCCTGGGAATAAACCAAATAGATGAGAAAGGTGCCGATGATGCACATCTGGATCCTTGAAATCTTTAACCTGTCTTCCACAAGCAAATCCATTATTTATCCAACAATTTAGCATATCAAAATTGACCATTGAATAAAGTAACATTCATCTTCCACATTTTAAGTGAAAAAATAAAATACCCATTCCATTATGGAACCATCCCTTGCAATATTAGTTGGACGTAGCCTTGGTTGAGCTTCACGAACTTCTCCAACAATATTATCCTTTGTTCTCCCCATAATCTGTTTTGAAAAAACTAACTTAAAAGGAAGACACAAATATTGTGTAAACAAAACATCAAAATTGTCTTATAATTTGTATGCTTTAGTTAAAAGTTTAGCAACTTCACCTCAGCAGCAGAAAGAAATATGGAAAAGACTTCTTTTACGATTGCCATATCCATTGTTGATGACTGGCTTACACAAGCAGGCTCACCGTTGGGAGAGATAAAATTATGTTCGGGGGAAGTTGATGGATTAGTTTCAAGATATCCTTCACTGCCTTCTATCAGCCAGCTCAACAGAAATGACACGCATCCTTCCAATAAAGGATATGCTTTATATTTGAGGAAATCCTATTAGAAAGAAATCATCAGTAAAATTTACCTTTGTCAGTTCCGGCTGAATATGTTGGAAATCTCACGTTGGTAGGTATTGTTGAGACCTCAAGTGTGAAGAATAAAGTCTCATTTTAGAAAAGAATAGACTACGTGAGAAGTGAAGTGAGAACCACATAAATAGAAGGATCCATGAACTTAACGTCTCACTACTTTTGGTTTAGACATGGCGTCAAACCCTCTTACTGTGGTGGATTGTCCCGCATTGTTATTGTTGGGACCTCAAATGGAAGACTCTTTTGCCATGGGTTTCCTCTAGCTGCCTAACATAATGTCAGTTTAGCAAAAGTTCATTTTAGCACATTATATACATGATTTTACAATTTCTTCTTCAATTATAATATTTAATAATATTTCAAATTAAAATTTAATATGAACCAGCTTATTTGCAAATATGTAAGGATAAGAGACTGCGTACAAAGAATTGCCCTCACCCCTAATGGGGAGTGGTTTTTTCGTCAACCCGAACTAGTTTGATATAAAAGTGTTGTTTATGTTATTTTGATTTCAAATTAAATTTTATATATTTTTTCACACTAAAGACAAAACTTTTGTTTAACACTATCAAAATAAAACTAATTCTAAAAAAAAAATTATAAGCATTCCTGAACATGAACTCATTCTTCCACAAGTTAAATCTTTCAAAATCTATGTACCAAAAAAAAAACATAATAATAAATCAAAAGTAATTCTTCACAAATTACCCAAACAAGCACAACATCCTACAATGGATTAAAATTTAAAGGACTCTCCTAAAGGCTACTAATTTCTGAACAACTAAGCTTTATATGTTCTCAACTAACTAAGCATAACATCAGAAGCTTGGATCCATCCGAACACTTACCTCATCCATTGTGTAAGCATAGTGCTCCCATAGATGGGTACAAAGCCATGCTCCACCCATTGGCCACAAGGCCCATACAACATCACCTTGACCTGCTGATGTTCTCGCCCATATATCTGATTTACTATGTGCCACCCAACCACTTGCTTGGTAGTTCACCTACAGCATTCAGTAATTGAATAAGAGAAATTCGAAAACATAAGCATGACAAATGAAAAAAATTCACAGGAAGAGCAAAAAATAAAGGAGCAATGACAATGAATGGACATCAAGATGGCTCAAGGCAATCTAACATTGCCTCCAATGTAAGGTAAGCAACATCTTCAACAACTAATCAACCACTGCCATGAGGTTGCTACTGTTTTTTAAAAAAAGCTTCTTATCAAATTGACTTCTTGGCATATGCATTTGACCCTTCATTTCTACTAAGTTTACTACTAATAATCAGATTGCAGATACTAGCCGTTGAACTTTAACATTAGGCTAACTTCAAGACAGCATCATGCTGAATTAAGATGGGCTTCAATAAGAACATAAAGAGGTAAAAAATACTTACATTTGCTGTTTTTCTGCCGTTCACAGACAGAAAGGAAATATAATCAAACAAGGGTTCTTGACACTCGCTAAGATTGCAAGGAAGAGAAGGCCAATAGTTCATCTCCACATTGATGTTCAAGTGGGGAGCTCCACTGGGACAAAAATAACGCCACTATTATTAATCTCAGATAGAAAACTAATGCAACGCTGCCTTGCAAATAAAGGGGGCAACATGAAAATAAAAATAGAAACCTGATTATCTTGAAATCTAATGACAGATTAGCAAGCCTCGATTAAAAGAATATCTATTCAAAATGAAATAGAATGTAAACATACTCCCACGCTGGCTCAAGATCTTTGTTCCAAATTCCCTGTAGGTTTGCCACCTGAGTTCCTGGGCGTGAACAAGAAATGAGCAAATAACGACCATATTGAAATAGAAGTTCCACCAGGGAGGGATCTTCATCAGTCCGAAATGATTTGACCCTCTCTGAAGTTGAAACCACTATTGCACTGTCCATGACACACAAACCAGCTATAGATGGTGTGAGCCTCTTTAACTCCAAAGACCCATCTTCTTCTGATATACTCTGCGTACTTCTCATAAGCTGCAGTGATACTCGGTGAAAAAGTTCCTGATAGTCATTTAAATGACGAGCATAAAGATCAGAATACGATAAATTGCTTATTGAGTTCAATGTACTCAAACACTCCGAAGTAGGTTCCTTTGTAGAATCCGAAGGTGCAGTAAAAGGCCCACCGAAGGAAGATGAAGCAACAAGAAGTAAAACAGCCCAATCTGAAGCCTCGACCTTCAAGTTCTTGTCATCCAAAATATTGATCACACCATTTCTATCACCAATCTTCAAGTGAAGAATTGCCGAGAATTGAATTCCCTGTGGATTGAGTTCCGGTGAGATCCTATTACCAGGACATCTTCCTTTCATTATAATCTGATTATTGCCATTTATGTAAGTATGATTAAACAACTTGCTTTGTAGAGAAACTGTAAATGATAGTTTTGCAGGTTTACTAGCAGAAATCTTTGTGACAATGACTTGATTTGGATAAGAGGCAAAGTGTTCCCTTTTGAATTCTACATCTCCCACGGAATATTTTACTTTGACTGTTGCAGTGTCTAGGTCTAGCTCTCTCTGATAAGTTTCTTCTTGAGAACTTGTAAGATGTGAATAATCAAATTCCAATTTGATATCACCAAGAAGTTGGTAGGCCTTGTCATGCATGACAAGGAAAAAAGAAAGAAAGAAAGAAAGAAAGTGAAATTATTAGTTGGAATGAAGCTGAAGATGGAAAATGAGGAATGTAATTGAAAAATGAAGAACATATATACCTCGGAAGGATTTCCTGTCAAGTGAGAAGCTGCAGCAGTAGCTTGAGGATAGAGTTGACGTTGAACGAGGTTTCTAACTTGTGAAAGTGCTTCTGGTGCTTTAGTGTTAGTATAGTCTCCGGGTGCCCCAGTCCAGAGCGTGTCCTCTGCAAAAACATTATACATATCTGAGTGAGTCAGTGAGTGACTCTCACCATTATTACAAATGAAATGAAATTGGAATTATTGCAGAAATGTATTATTTTATATACCATACCATACGTCCATACCATACCATTGAGCTGGATAGTTTCGGAAGAGATGCCTCCCCAAACCATGGCTCCCAACCGTCCATTTCCAATGGGAAGCGCATCGGTCCAGTGCTTGGCATCATCTCTAAACCTAATCTTCAGATTCACAGCTTCCATCGTGTTTCCAGTGTTCGTTTCTTCCTATCAAATAACAATTAACAATTAACTTGGGACTGTACTGTAATATTTCTGAGTTCTGACTGATGCTCCTAAATCCTAATATTGAGTAATATCATCTCATCTATCAACGAGAATAAAATGCTTTTGATTTAATAATAAATTTCCCTCTATATATAAATTGAATATGAACATGACCCACCCAAAACACGGATGTTTGAAAAAATAATAAATCTAACTTACGTTGTTGTTTTCAGTTGCAATGGAATATAAACACAGTGAAAGAGCTACCCATGACACCGAAATGGCCAATGCCGATGGGGAAGGGAGGGCCCCTTTGGCTTTGAGAGGGGTAAGCTCGTAGTCATCATTATGGAAATGTGTTGCACCAATCTTTCTTTCTTTCTATAGGAGACTGCGTACCACAGCACATTCAATGCAAAATGTTAGTAAAGAGAGCAGAGTGTCACTCTAGTCTTGGATAAGGCTCATCGAAAATATCTTCAGTGGAAGACTCCGTACATGTTTCTACTTTCTACTACTACTCTCGAGGTTATTTTCGTACCCATCCCCTTCCTTTCTTTTGAACAGTGATCAAAATATTACTTTTCATCAAGTTTTTTATCTAAAACGCAAATAATGTTATTTTTTAATCTGCCACGGAGGCAAGTTAGCTATCCGGTGTAGCGAACTCGATTTGCTGACGTGTCACATTTCTAGTGGATACCAAGTTCGCTACCCAATGTAGCGAACTCCATACTTATTTTTTTTTTAACTTGATACTTGTTATCCACCGGACATGTGACACGTCAGCAAACCGAGTTCGCTACACCGGGTAGCGAACTTGCCCCGTAACAAATTGAAAAATAACACTGTTCGCATAGCATTTAAGTAAAAAACTCGATGAATAATGACATTTTGGTCGGTGTTTCGTTTTCTTTTCTTTATTTTTTTTTTGGGTGTGACGAGAGAGTAGGTACTTCATAGTAATATTATTAGGGAGAAAGCTTTTTTTGTCCCTAATAAAAAAATATGTTCTTTGTTTTAGTTTTTTATAAAAAAAAATTAATCATTTAGTTCCTATGAAATTTAAAATAGATTTATTTTAGTCCTTTTCAGTAATTAATGTGGGTCTTTTTTGAATTTATAAGGGACCACGATTTCAACTTAATGAGTTCACTTTGAATTTCTTAGAGACCTCAGAACTATTTTTTTTTATAAGGAACTAAAGTGAGGATTGTATTTTTTGTTAGGGACCCAACAAAAACTTTACTCTATTATTAAACATGCGATGGACTTTACCAAGATACTCAATCAATGGCTTATTAATTCAAAAATCCTACACATTTTAAATCTTTGAAAAATTTACACAAATTTTTAAAAATTAGTTCAAGTGAAAAAATTGATACAGGTTTCAATGATCTAGTACTGGTTCAATTGCACAACCAATCCACTATCTAGATTAGATTGATTGGTGGTTCGATTCATAATTTAATTGGTCAGATTGACTAATCCGATCCGATTTTAATAACAATGTCGAGATCCATATGTAGATCCATCAAAATGGGTTATTCATAGATGGAAAGTGTGCTGAAATCATAGGAGCTTCTTATGGACAAGGGAGGGGAGGAAAATTTTATAAATGGCAGCCTCCTTCAATAGATTAGGAATGGAGGTTTGGGGCTTCCTTTTGGCGCTAAGTTGGCTTGGTCTAAAGGATACAAGCAAGTATGGATCGAAGGGAAATTCCTTATGGCAAAGAATCTCATTCATTAGAGATGTAATCCATAATACCCAATGTTTTCCTCAATGAATGTAACACTCCGTGAACTCCCGGTGTATTATTACTAATTATGATATTAAGCGCAGTTACAATTAGAGTAATTAGATTAAAATTTACGGATAAACTTTTTTGTTTCTACGTATAAATTATTTTTGTATTCAATTATCTCAAATACTTTAATCATTATTCGTAGATGAATTGGAAGTGTCATACATTAGTCTACAATCCCTTACTAGGTGGCAGAACTTACTTTGATTGTGTAGTGATAGCGTGTTGCATGTAAATTTTCGTCTATTTTGCGTGTTGTAGTGCTCTCATCAGGTATTTTTTTCTTCATTAGCGCGTTCATGGGGTTGGCTACTGCCTCTGCTATTTTGAGCGTGTTTTAGCTCCCTCAAGCGCGCTATACACGCTCGAGTAAGCATTTTCACATATTCATAATACACTTTGCACGCTTCCCAAACTATGGACATATTCCATTAAGGTAGTATGCTATCGTTTCGGGAACTCTTAACTTCTTTTTGATACCTAATTGACCATTTTGTCAATTTATGATAAGCATACATTGGTATACTTCATTTCATTTGAGCTACATATAACATACATATATCTTAGGCATTAAGCCATTTTATCTTACATAACTTGCATTCTAAGCTAACTCAATAACATACATTTGCATAGGCTCTCCATTACATAACTTGTTTCTTAAGGTATGGTGCCAATATACATTTTCCATACACTAAAATAACGTAGAATCTTATAAGTTATACACTTATATCTTCATAATCTCATATAAATATACATCATTGAATATTGAGACTACATAAGCCCTATACATAATCCTCTATCAAATATACATCAAGGCTTATACAAAATGTGGATATCTAAGCTATAAAATTATTCATTACATCATGTCATATGACTCCTTCAAAATCTGATTATATTTACACCAAAACAGTAATCATTAATGACATGCTAAACAATCATTGTTGGTACCTGAAATATAATCCACAACACGTGGTAAGATAAAAATCTCAATAAACTAAGGATCATTAGAGGATTACTTCACCCTTAAGTTCATTTCATGTGCATCAGCAGTAAAATAAGCATAAGCATATCATACATCATATCATATCATATGGAAATTCCAAGAGAGGTCCACAAGGGTTGTGTCTCTTAGGTATCTGACTTTAAGGAGGTCACCATAGGGTTGTGTCCAAGGGAAGTCCCTACTACTATGGTCTTTTCATGAAAGGTCCCAAAGACTATGTCTCATAGGCATTAAGTCCCAAGAAGGTCCACAAGGCTTGTGTCCAAGAAAATTCCATACATGCAAAATACTTTCAAGAGAGGTCCATAAAGGTTGTGTCTTAGGTGTTAACCATACAGAGTTCCACATAGGGTTGGCTCCAAGGAAAGCAAATGCATACATACATATAATCTACAGGTCAAAGATACATCTTACAGATACATTTATATCATTTATCATTTATTATTCATCATTTATCTTACAATGTATCATACTATGTTCTAATACTACAATGCACATCACTGTAACCATTACTCCAATGAATGTTCTTCCACAAAGATGTCACTTAGCAAAGCACTGCATCATCAACAACATGAAAATCACCATCAACAGATAAATTATCTGCATTTACTTCCAAAACGATGTCGTTTTGAGATTGAAAGATTAGAAAATTATAATTATAAAGACTATAATAACCCTGAAATAAATTAAAATTATAAAAATATAATAATATCCGTTCCAAAACGACGTCGTATTGGGCTTACTGCAGATAATTTATCTGCAGAAAAAGTGAACCCATTATTAATTCGTCTCATTTTATTTTGGGTTTAATGTTTATTTTATTGAATTAATATTTTTCATGTTGTAGGAGATAATTTTATTTTTCACACACACACATAAAAGTGTGTGGGGCCCATGTCACATAAAAATGAGTGGTTCCACTATTTTCTCGTTACAATAGATTCCATTTACTTTTACGTGAGTGTGACTGTACAAAAAAAGCATAAACATTAAATTCTTTTATTTTTTAATAGATCATTTGTTTAAACTTCGGAAAATATTAGCCTCATGTGATAGGAGACAGTAAGTCTCTTCACACACTCAAAAAGATGTGGGATCCACTTCAAATTCTTTTTTCTCTTTTTCTATGCAACGGAACTTATATGAATTTGTAAATTAACGTGAAATATCTTATCTTATGTTGCATAAGAAAATATAATCGGCTTTTTGACCATTTTGTCCCTTATTAATTAAAAAATAACCACTCTGCCCTCATTTCAAAACTATTTACTAATATGTCCCTATTTAATCGATTACAGATACACTTAATCGATTAACTGTTCAAAAAAATATATATAATCGATTACAAAAAAATTTAATCGATTAACTTTCGTGGCTTTGTAACAAAGTTGCATAGGAAACTTCTTGGAGATGAACTATTCAAACGAAGCAGAAGAGTGACAAGCTTGGAGCCCTCAAGCTTGAGCTTCCTTACATAGGATGCGTACACCAGAGCCAAAGAGTGATGATCTTCAACATGCTTTCGGATCTGATCCAACCTTGGCCTCAGAGGATCAGTTTTCAAAGCAAGCATGGATCTACTTATTGATTCAAATCCATGTGCATCTCCATCAAAACTCTAGCTCATAATCAAATCATTCAACAAATTAATTAAATCTCTTTCAAAACAGAGACAGTCCCTTTCTAGTAAGATTTCTTGTCAGATTTTCAGTTTGTTTCCCATGAAAGTAGCATAATAACAAATTAATCTGGTTCTATCATGGCTTCCTTTCACTGCTCAAATTTTCTGTTTGTTTGCCAAGAAAATAACATAATTAAATCACCACTGGATCCAGCGAAAGTCTTATCCTCATCCCATTTGAATCCAGATAGCAAGATCTGCTTTTTTTTTCTTTGAATTAAATAAACCCAGAAACAAAAAAGAAACATAAATAACAAAAACTCTCTGTTTACTCGAAAAACAAACAATGAAAATGCACTAGGATATTTTTACTACCAATTTTTTTTACTACCACTTCACTATCACTTTAATCACCATTGATTCAAAAGTTATTTTTTATCTCTGTCTTCGTTCAACTTTTCCTCACAAAAGCAGATAATATGAAATTAAAGTGTAAAAAAAAAAAAGCTTACGATGTTGTGGGTGGTAAAGAGGAAATAGAAAGTGAAGAAAATGCAGAGAACAATGAAAATGGTAAAGTCCGTTGAGAGGCTCAAGAAGAGGATTTGATCTGATAAGAGTTGGGTGGAAATACGCAAAAGGAGAAAGTTTTGCAGTTTTCCTAAACCAAAGTCACTGAAAGTTAATCGATTAAAAAAGTTTTGTAATCGATTATAAAAAATTTTGTACCCTTAATCGATTAAATGTCTTTGTAATCGATTAAATAGGAGTAAATTAATATATAGTTTTGGAACGATGGCAAAGTGGTTATTTTTTAATTAATAAAGGATAAAAAGGACAAAAAGCCAAATATAATCCCTTAAACTTTTACTAAAACATACTGCGTTTGAGGTTTTTTAATTAAAAAAAATTGGATCTTTAACCGGGTGGGCTAGACTACTTCGAAGTTCGAAACTAAGAACATGTTTGAATTTTGTTTTCAAAAATAATTTTTTAATTTTTAAAACAAAAAAAACTTGTTTGATAATGTTTATTTTATAAGATAATTTTAAAAATTATAATTATTTTTAGTTTTTAGAATTAAATTTAGAAAACAGTTTTAAAAAAAATCCAAAACACACGCATTTCTTTAACTATTTTAGAAACAATTTTAAGAAGAAAAAGAGTAAACAATAAAACACAGTCGTGCGTGTAGGCCGTAAACATTTTTGTATTTATTTGTATTGAGTTTTGGAGCACTGAAAAGTGAAAAGTGAAAAGAAAAGAAATGGAGAAGGCGCTGAGAGCGTACGCGGAGGTTCTGAGGCTGGTTAGGTGTTTGCCTAAGGACACGAGGGCTTATTATGCCAAATACGCTCGCGAGAACTTCGTCAATTACCGTGAAGTCGATGCTACTGATTCCACTACTCTTCATGAGCTCTTTCAACGCACCTATAATCATTCCCTATGGGTCCTTCATAAGGTGTCCACTTCCCTCTTCCCAGCTTTTTCTGTATAAATATAATGCCATTTAATTGTGCATCCAAATTTGGGCGCTTTTGATGCTTATTTTCTGACCCATTTCCAATCGGATGCGATTGCAGTATTCGGTTGAAAAATCTGCCGCGGATAAGCTAAAGGGGATATGTTGCACTTAGTGCATGTGTGTATCGCAATGCCTGCCAAATGTTTGTTGTTATTTCCCACTCAAGACCAAGGATAGTTTTTGTATTTATCTCCTTGCCCCTCTTCCAATTGTGAGATTTTTTTTTTTGTAAAAACCAATTGTGAGATTTTGTCACGTCACTGTGATCGCTAAGCTTCCTTGTTTTTTTAATTCTAAGTGTCAGGTCAGGCCGTTACTGCACCCTTCATAATAATTTGCAGTTGAATTAGTGTTCATTTTTAGCAACCAACGCATTGATTAATGTTCAAAGTATTACTTGTTATGTTAGTTGTCACGATATGCAAGATAATTAACTTGTTAGTGTTGTAATTGCTCGTTGACACATAACATGATATAAATTTTTGGGAAAAGTTCAAAATGTCCTCTATGATATTGCTTACACCCTTATGTTTTTTTTGTTTAATCACTTAATTCCCAATATTTTTTCCATCCATACTATTTCTTAACACTGTTAGGAACTTAACTAAGTATATATATTTTATTCTATTTAGAAGAAAAAAACAAAGTGATAAAAAAAGAAAAATAAGACCAAATATTATGAAAACTTAGAACACTTAATAAAAGCCTAAAACAAAAAAATAAAATGTGTCTAAATAAAAAAATAGAATAAAGAGAAAAAAGTAGAAGAAAAATAAGGTCAAATATGTTAAAAATCACAATAATGATAGAAAAGACTAAATTTTTGTAAAAATAAAAATAGTTCAAAAGAAAAAAAAATATTGAAGACTAAAAAATAGAAGAAAAAATAAAGATAAAAAAAATAAAGCAAAAAGATGTCACAATTATGAGTTTTCAATATATTTGAATTTTTTTATTTTTAATTTTTTTGTACTTGATCTATTTTTTTTTATTTAGATATGTTTGGTTTTTTTTTTCCATTTTTATTTTTTTAGCTTTTTGGTCTATTTTATTTTGAGTTTCTCTTCTCTTTTTTTAGTCTTGTGCCATCCCATTTACTCGAGATTTTTGTAAAAAAAAAAAAATTAAAAAAAGAGAGAGAATAAAATAGAGATATAAAAAAGATCATACATATCTAAATAAAATGAATAAAATAAATTGAAAATAAAAAATCGAATATATTGAAAATTATAACTATGATTTTTTTATTCTATTTTTTATTTTATTTTTTTATCTTGATTTTTCTTTTATTTTTTGTAGTCAGTATATATATTTTTCATTTAGACTATTTGTTTTTTAATTTTAGTTTTTCCTATAACTGTTGTGATTTTTAGCATATTTGGTCTTATTTTTTCTTCTATTTTTTTTGTCCTTATTCTATTTTTTATTTATTTAGACACATCTGATCTTTTTTTTCTTTTAATCTTTTATTAAATATTCTAAATTTTTATAACATTTGATCTTATTTTTCTTTTTTTATTACTTTCTTTTCTTCTTCTAAGAAGGGTAAAATAAATATATTTAGTCAAATTTTTATCATTGTTAAGGAGAGACTGGATGAAAAAAATCATAAGAGTTAAGGGTTTGATGTTTGTCATTTTAAATGACATAAGTTATGCTATTTTAGGAGAGAGATAGACACAAGGAATAAAAATCATTATGGAGAAAGTGGGTGGTTTTTTTTAAATTTAAATTTAAAATAAAAAATTATTTTGTGTCTATCTTTTTCTTAAAATGACATAATTTTATGTCATTTAAAATAACAAACACTTTTTTCAAGAGTTAAAATAATAAAAAAAAGTACGAAATTATAAGGGTGTGCATGACAACCTTCCCGGAATCATTTTTTTTTTAATTTATATTCTCGGAAACAAAAAAGGATATGAAACTCGTTTGGTAAAATCAGTTTATTTTTTTGTTCCCGGGATGAACCGGTTTAATTTTTGTGTTGGGAAACAGAAGAAAGAATAAAAAAATTTCTGTTTTTCGTTACCGGGCACAAAATGAGAAACATTTATCTCTCTCAATCACTCTCCACCTCTACCATCATCACTACCGCCACCATCATCCCAACACGACTGCAGCCACCATCGCCGCCGCCGCCATCGTACCACTAGTGTCGTCGTCACCACCCCTCACCACTGTCACCATTACCACCACAACTACCATCGCCGTCGCCACCACCACCACCACCACTATCACTGTCACCATCGCCATCAACTACCACCACCATCATCGCAACTACTGCCGTCACCGCTACCATCGCCATCACACGCCACTGCCACCACAATTACCATTGCCTCAGCCACTACCGTCACCACGCCGCCGCCGCTGCTGCCACCAACCACCACCACCATCGTCACAACCATTACCGTCACCACCACCACCATCGCCACCATTACATCACCCCCGCCACTACCATCACCATGCCATCGCCACCATTACCACCACCACCACCACCACCATGATACCTTCACAACCACCACCACCATGCCATTGCTACCATTGGTTCCGCCACCAACCACCATACCCACCATCATTGTCGTAGTCACTGCTGTCACCTTGTTGGGTATGGCTCATACTTCGCATGCTGATGAGGGCCCTAATTATCGGGATCAGCAGAAAGACAACTGGGGTTCCGCTCCCAGATGAGAGGGCCCGCAAAGGCTAGGTACTGTTGTGGGTCTCTGTTTTATTGTAATTTTCTTAGCAGTTTGGACTTGGGCCCATGAATAGCTGCTGGTAGGGTTTTGTAATCCTATTTATATTTGCCTTGTAAACCTAGAGACTTGTAACGAGTGGCGGTGGGGTGAATATAGTACAGACAAGCTGGACGTAGCCTAAATTGGGTGAACCAGGGTAAATCGCTGTGTCTATTCTCTCTCTCTTTTTCTTTTCCGTTTTCGATTTGTGTGTTGTCGATTTCCAACACACCTCCACCACCACCATCCTCACCACTACCACCGCCACCATTACCATCGTCATCGCTGCAGCCATTGCCGTAACAACCACCACCACTATCTCTATCACGTCATTGCCACCACCACTACCATACTGACGCTGCCACCATCACTATAACCACACCATTTGAAAAGGAAAGTGATGATCCAATTTTTTTTTTTATATTTAATAGGAATAATTTTTATAATATTATTTGTTGTGTTATCAAACACAATTCTCATTCTCGGAATAAGAATAGAACTTGTTATCAAACACATTTTTTTACTCAGAAACTGTTCCATAAATTATTTCTTCTCAAAAACAGAAATAATGTTAGGGAATAGAAAAGAATTGTTTCTTCTCAGAAATAATGCTAGGAAATAGAATGATTGTTATACACACCCTAATTGATTCAAAACAATAACATCAAAGAGATTTTGAATTTTTCCATAAATTTTTTTATATCATTTTTTAACCGACACGAAACGATAAATGCAAATCAACCCAAACACAAGAATCTCGTTAATATTTGTGTCATGTGAAGGTCGTGATCATATAATAAAATTGTCACCCCTAATTATCAATCTTAATCCAGTTTTATTTAGGAGGGAACCAAGCAATCTCTTTAATCATAGTGATGTTGGTAAGGTCCCAAATATCCTTAATTTACTTCCTTCTTGAATTGACCTTTGGCCCGATTAGAACAAGCCATTTCATCTGAAGATATTACTTTTGGCTTGATCGACTCTTTTTGTTCCCCCTAAAATGTTGCTCCCCAAATAAGTATTCGTTTGGCGGCTTTTTTTAAAAAAGAAACTTAATCATATATATTTCCATAAAAACACTTAAAATAAAAGGAGTTTTTTATAATGAATAAAATAAGAGAAAATTAGAAGTTTTTAGAAGAAGTTTTTTTTAATATGTACACAACTGTTCCTGAGTTTTTATATATACTTTTGTAGGCTCTAATATTTCTATAATAAATGAAGATAAATTAGCTATATTTATATTCAAACGCCATCATTTTGAATTAAAAGATTAAAAAATTGTATTCAAAAAAAAAAATTAAAAAATTATAATGATAAAGACTATTATAATTTTGTAATAAATTATAATTATAAAAATACCTTAATTTTCGTTCTAAAACAAAATAACTTTTCTGCATTCATCGCAGAAAAAGTGAATATTTTTTTAATTATTTTTTTATTCTAAATTAAAAAATATTTTTGCAATTAATATAAATAAGTTATCTATATTTACTCTTAAAATAATGTCGTTTTGAATTGAAAAATTAAAAAATTATAATTATAAAAACTATAATAGCACTAAAATAAATTAAAATTATAAAAATATTATTGCCCGAATTTAATCCACATAACTTATCATCTAGAAGAAGCCAACCCATTATTTACAAATTTTAATCTATATCCTAATAATAAATATGGGACGAGAAATAATAAACCCAGAAGTTTGCAGAAGAAGCAACGATCTTGCTGGGTACTCGTTCTGGAATCTGGGAGAATATTTGCAGAATGAGTTTGGATTCATCTCGCTCAGGATCCTCCTTAGCCTCTAATTCTAAACGAAGTTTCTCTAATTCAGCATCTTCCAACCGTTCCAATGTTAACACTAATAGCGCTAATAACAGTAAGAAGAAGAAGAAGACGAAGTCGTCGACCACCACAACCACCAACCAGAAAACCCTAGGCGTCTCTTGGGGCTCAAATTCTCTCCCCTCTTCCCGAAAATCCGCCTTCTCCGATTTCGGCAGGTTTCTTTTTTATTATTATTATTTATTATCATTTTCATTTCTTATCCGATCTCATTCTCAGAAGAACTATGGATGATGTCAATTTTATATCTTCTCGTCAGCATTTTGGTTCCATGCATCAAATTGTTTAGTATGTCACGCCAGAGTGTTTTTTTTTTATATGTTTTAATGACTCTGCAAATGTAGTTATATGGCGATTAAGAATCGGAAACTACACAACCAGTTTGACGCTGAAGCTTCGACGTCTTCGTTTAATGGCTCTAGTTCTGGGAAGCCTATATTCAGTGGAGTTTCAATTTTTGTTGATGGTTTCACGCTTCCTTCCAGCCAGGTTAATCGTATTTTTTTTATTCATTTTTATTATTCTCTTTATCTCTCCCTGATTGCTGAAATTTGAATAAGGGGTAGAGTGGGTGAGTGGTGGATTTATTAAATTTTAATAACAATTTGGTTGAAATTATCGTTCCCTGTTTCAGGGATTAAGTGTGACAAAAATTTGTATATTTGAATCAGCTTTAGTTTGTTTTGGTTTAGTCAAAGGGATGACACGACGTTAATCACAAACATGTTTCAGGAACTACGGGGCTACATGTTAAAGTATGGAGGAAGATTTCAGAATTATTTCTCAAGACGTCATGTATCACATATCATCTGCAGTAATCTTCCTGACAGTAAAGTTAAGAACCTGAGGTGTGATTTAATGTCCTTTTTAAATTTTGCGGTTTGAGTCCTACTCTTTCGTATAGCTTAAATTTAATTGTTGGATGGTCCAATGCAGAGCCTTCAGTGCAGGGTTGCCAGTGGTGAAACCCACTTGGATTTTAGACTCGGTTGCTGCTAATAGACTCTTGAGCTGTAAGTTTTTGCATTTCTCCTTATATTGATTTCATCCTCTTTCGAAAGCCGTCTGCTTTGTATTTGGAGAGGAAGAAAAGGATGGAGTGAGCAGATAGAGTGAAAGTGATAATTTATTTGGTTGTTGCAAAGGGAATGATGATATCTTATTTGTATTTTTAATTTTAAGTCATCTTGTCTCAAGTGATGTGAATTTTGCTTTGATAGGGGTGCCTTATCAACTTGACCAACTTGATAGTGACCAACCAAAACTGTCGGCCTTCTTCACATTTAAAAGTAGCAAAATGTCAGAGGATACTTCTACAAATGCCCTTTGTCAAGTAGGTTCAGACATTGAAGATTCATCTATGAGGGTTGGACAATCAAAGGATAGACACTCGTCTGAAGTTCAGGAGATGGTTGAACTTGGCGGGCAAATCAGTACTGAATCTGATGATATTGTCCCTGAGAATACTAATGCAACTATGAGGGAACAGCTGACTAGAGTTAGAGTTAAATGTGATGAAGAAGAGCTTACAGGAGGAAGCAACGATGCTGAGAGAAATGTGGGTGAACTTGAACCTAATCATCAGGAACCTTCTACATCATTTAGTACTTCCTGCTCAGATGACCAGAATGTAAAAGAATTTCCAAGTTCTGCAGCCACTAAGCCTTCTAAACAGTGTCATTCAACTCTTGCAGACCCTAATTTTGTGGAAAATTATTTCAAGGTACTAAAGTTGGAAGAAGTTTGGATTTTTATATTGCTTGGCAAAATGGTGAATTTCTTGTTGGTGGTCTGCTTTATTTTTTTCTTTATATGGTTGTTGTACTAGTCATCTGAATCTTATTATATTATTGTAAGAGTCAACGATCATTATTTACTTCAATAGAAGGTGGATGGAGTGATTATGTTACAATCTCACAAACAAGAATTGAAGAATAGTTTGAGAGATAATGAATCTATTACTGATGAATAAGGTCTGAACAGAAAAATGAGTGAATTCTCCTTCAGAGGGTTTCCCCCTTTTACAACAAAACTAATGCTCAGTTCCCTAAATGATAACAAATTATATTCCCCCTCTTCTACCCTCTCCTCTTATTCAAGCTAATTCCCTACCTCAAACAATTTTAACTGTCGAAACATAATTATTCTAACTAACTACTTTCTGGCCCTATCAATACCATCCCCTGTAAGTTCAACCTTGTCTTCAAGGTTGTAATCTAGAAACTAAGTGCTACTTCCATCCCTCCAGTTGTGCCCTTAATGAGAGCTTGGACGGCCTTTTCCCTTTCTAAAATTTCTAGGAACATTAGCATATACCACAGTGGATTTCACAATTGAAACACAATATATCCCCCTAAATGCTTGGTGCAAAATATTTCTCCTGTAGATCATAAGAAGTTTTAACCTACAAGCAATAGTACAATCTAAACAATCTTGAAAGATTACAGCAGCAAGCAACAAAAGCCCTCTTATCCATATGATGTATCTTCCTCAAACATTTGGATAGTGGTGTATTTACATAATCCGTCGGCTGCAAGAAATCTTAAAATCCCAACATAAAGAGATGCCCAAACTTGTAATGTCCATACTTTCCCTTTGGTATGCTTACTGTGTATGGCTCAAATGTGGTGGGTCCAGTAGTGGAGAGGGTGGGGGTTACCTGAATAGGAATTGATGGTTGCAATATAGAAGTTTCAAGATTGACCTAGATGCCCCAAGAAGGAAACTCGAGTCGCTATCACTATTGCTCTAAGGGTTGCCATTGCCCCTACTTCCTTCCTTCCCCTTATGGCTTTGTGTTGTGCTTTTTGCCTTACCACCTTGAGAAACTAGGATGCTGGATTCTTGTTTGAAAGATCGTATCTTGGAAATGTGCTCTTGTGCAAATTGGGTGGCTTTGGTGGTGGTCAAGTAGTTGCCAGAGTGACATGTTGTAATGACCCATTTGTTGGCCCTGCATAATGTCTGGCTTTTGGTGATGACGTGATCCTGGTTATGGAGCAAGGTAAAATGCCAATCCAAGGTGGAGAAGCCACTACCTTTGCGCAATGGCAGAATTTCGAGGATTCTATTGAAGCTGGTTCCTTGGCATTGCGCTTTTGGAACATCCTCCCAATCACTTTCTAGAAAATCTTGAACTTAGCCATCATCATTACTTAGATCTTAGGTGATGTTTGGTACATGGATTTTATTGGGAATCTTGGGAAAGTAGGATAGGGAAAATAATTTTTCCATGTTTGGTAGGAGGAAGAGTGAAAATATGCCCGAATTTTTTTTTCCTAGGCTTTTGATTTACACATCCGATTCCAGCCCAAGAATGCCATCTATACCATGGTATTTTTTTCCCCACCATGTGGGAAACGAGTCACACTTGTGTCAGACGAAAATGCCCTGATACCTAGCATTGGGAACTCCTCTGTATCAGACCTCTGCCACCGTCGACCACCGCCAAAAGGCCTAGCTCTTTGGGAACTCCTCTGCCAAGAAGCGCACCCACCACGTTAGTGATCACGATGCCACGGGACACTTCTCCTACGAAGACGCCATCATCCTTTCCCCCCATTCCTCCGTCGAGCCCAGTCACAAGAAGGAATATGGAGCAGACTGAAACTAGGTCATCAAGGATTGCATCAAGATCTTGGTGGGGAGAATACTCGAGATTGCGTCCCGGTTAGGAGTGCTTCGAGTAGTCCGTTTGCCAGTCCTTCAATCAGTCCACAGAAAAAGAGAAATTGTGATTTTGTAATTTTGTAATTCTCTTTCAATTAGTCCTTTGAGCAGAATCATTGCCAATGAAAAGCCAATGGCAAAAAGGGAAACTTATTGGGTGCGGCACACATGGGTAATTTTGTAATTTTGGTCCACATTCCTATCAATATTTTACAAAAGTAAACACCCTTTTTGGTCCCTGGCAATATCTACGAAATCCTTTTTAGTCCCTGGCAATAAAAAAGGACCAAATTGGTCCCTAACAGTATGTAAAAAGGGCCACGCTAGTGACGGAGGAGTTGACATAAGGACTAACATGGCCATTTTTTCATAATTTTAGGGACCAATTTGGTCCTTTTTTATTGCCAGGGACTAAAAAGGATTTCGTAGATATTGTCAGGGACTAAAAAGGGTGTTTACTCATTTTATAATCAACCAAACATTGTATCGAAAAAATTAACCCAAGATTCCTTGAAAGATTTTGCCTTACCAAACCACTTTTTAGTAACATTCCCGGGAAAAAAATTTCCCACCATATTCCCGGAAATCATGATTCCTGGATAAAAAAAAATTTCTCCTCTACCAAACGCCCCCTTAATGAATGACATTGGAGTGTTCCCATCTCCATTCTCTATGTCTTGGTGTTCAGTTTTCTTCATCCTCTGTAACCTCTTTTTTCTCAATAACCCTTTCGTTTCCATCATATTTTTGAACATTCCGATTTATAGATAGCTCAAAGAATTTCTTGATTTGAGCTATCCACCTCAAAGGATCATTGCTATCAAAAGTGGGTGACTCCAACTTTCTTTCCCAAGAACAAGTCTCTGCACAATTGCATTCCGACCCACTCCCCTCCTCGTTCTCCTCAACATGCTTGATCGAATGGGTATGAACTTCCTCACAAACATGTTACTCATTTGAGCCATCGTCCTCCAATTCGATGCCTTTTTCTGCATCAACCTTCTGAGAAGTTGTTTGATGTCATCAGTCCCATCCACACACTCTTTGATCTCTAAAAACAGAGTGTCGTGATTGCTGGCCATTTTATTTTGAAATTCTACAGAATTCTCCAATGCTTTCATTCTTGATTCACATCTTGGCCAATTGAGAATCTGGTACGTCGGACCAAATTGTTACAATTCCATAATCAAGAATTGAAGATATAGTTCAGGAGATAGAAAGAAAAAGAATGAATTCATTACTGGTGAATGAATTTTGGACAGAGAAAGTAAAGCATTGTCCTTCCAAAGGTTTCCCCTTCACAAAGGGGTTTCTGTGGCAGAGCTAATACTCAGTTCCCAAAATGATAACAATTCAGAATCCCCTTCACCTCCTATTTAAGCTAATTCCCCACCTCTGATCATTTTAACAGTCCAAACATAACTATTCAAACTAATTACTCTCTGGCCTTATCAGATTACTGGTTTAAATCCCATCTTGTGCCTTTTGTTTTGTGTATTCTATATTGTAAAGAACCTTGGGATACGCCACCCCTAAAACTAGCTCAAAGGGTGGGAGTGCCCAAGGTCTTATAAACTCCACATTAGTTGCACATACAACCAATGTGGGACTATATATCTCAACACGCCCCCTCACACCAGAGCCCATTGGGCTTGAAGAGTGGATGATGCAATAGGCTCAGCCTACCTGTGCTAAGAAATTCCACAAGAGAAAGTGGGGGGCGGCGAGGCTCTGATACCTTGTAAAGAACCTTGGGATACACCACCCCAAAAGCTAGCTCAGGTGTGGGAGTGCCCAAGGTCTTATAAACTCCACATTAGTTGCACATACAACCAATGTGGGACTATATATCTCAACATATATCAGTAATTTGGGGTGGGGGAAGGGGACGGAGAATATTGACCTTAACCTATCTGTCATATACTGATATGATACTGAATTGCTCCTCGCATTACATCCACATGATTTTCCTGACTCTCACAATCATAACATTGCTGCCATTATTATTGTTACCAATCGTTTAATCTACACTTAGAGTGCCATTATTTTTTAATATCCTGACTGAATTTTGGTATATGCAGAGCTCACGGCTACACTTTATAGGAACCTGGAGAAATCGGTATCGAAAGCGTTTTCCCATCTCATCTACTGTGGCTAAAAATGAAATTTCTAATATTCACGCCTCTGATATTTCTGTGAATTCAGTCATTATCCATATTGACATGGTAAGCTTTACATACAATGATGTTAGAAATAAATTATTTTTGACAACTAATTTTCATTTGATTTGGATTCTGGATAGAAATGTCATTTAACTTTATCCTGCTGGTGATATATATTATTTGACTTATTTCCATCCCCAACTTTGTTTAATGCTTATGAGATTAGACTTTTAAGAATGAATGTTGTGTTTATATATGTGTGTGTACTCCCCCAGGACTGCTTTTTTGTCTCCGTGGTTATCAGGAACCACCCTGAATTGTTGGACAAGCCTGTAGCTGTATGTCACTCAAATAATTCGAAGGGAACTGCTGAGATTTCCTCTGCCAACTACCCAGCACGTAGTTATGGTTGGTTATATTGCAAGTTATATATGATAATAAGGCTCAATAAGCTATTTTGGTTGTTTATCTTTTTGGTATGTAACTTATGCTTTCTATCATTGCTAGGTATTAGGGCTGGTATGTTTGTCCGGGATGCCAAGGCTCTTTGTCCCCACCTTGTTATCTTTCCATACAATTTTGAAGCTTATGAGGAAGTAAGAAACAATAGGGCATCCATAGTTGAATGACTTATAAAGCAGAATGGCAGAATATCTTATTTTGTCATATCTCTCTCTATCTTTTCCCCTTTTAGTTGATTTTTACAAAGATATCTTGGACTTGCAGGTAGCTGATCAATTTTATAGCATATTGCATCGACATTGCAACAAAGTGCAGGTCTTCTTTGGTTGGACATTCTGTAAGTGCATAAAATTTTCAGTCGGCTCGTACTTAATGCTGTAAATGCTACTTGATACAGGCTGTAAGCTGTGATGAAGCATTTTTGGACGTCACAGATTCAGAAGTTGAAGATCCTCTACTTTTAGCTTCATCAATTAGAGATGAGATCTATGAGAGTACTGGATGTACAGCCAGTGCTGGTATAGCTGGAAATATGCTTATGGCTCGTATTGCTACCAGAACTGCAAAACCAAATGGTCAATATCGCATAACTCCAGAAAAGGTGTTTTTTTGGAGTATTATGTTATTCAGAAATTGTTGTCTTTTTCATAGTTTTCAATTTGTATTTGTGGTGTGATGCATGGTTGTTGAATCGCAATACGTATCGTGAATCGTTCGACTGCTTTTTTGTATCGTGAATCGTATCGAATCGTAAGATTCAGAAACAAATTAAAAATAACTTAAAAATATATAATATCATATAAATCCAAATTAAAAATAAAATCTAAATACCAAAATCCATAAGTAACCAAATCTAAAACCAGTTATTTCTCATATTCATTAAATTTCAAGACTAATATTATCACTACTATCACTATCAGGATCTAGTATTGGCATATCTAGTCCTTCATCCTCTCCATTAGTAGAGTCATCTGACTCATCTCCCATATCTTGTTCAATAATTTGAGATCCTTTTCTGTTATCATTCCTGTTGACATCCTCTTGTATTAAGATGCCTTTGCCTTTATCATTCCTATCATCTTGAAGATTTCGAGGACCTAAAAAAAAAATATACATAATGTAAATAAATATATTAGATAAGGTGTTTGATTAAAAGAAATATTATATATGCAAATATACCTCTCTTTCTCTTTTTGCTTTGGTCTCCTTCATCAACGTTGAAGCACTCATGAACATCCATCCAAGATTCCTCATCCATTAAGCAAGGCTCCTCTTGCTCAGTAATCCATTCCTCGTCAGAATCTAAATCTGATAAGCAGATAGGATCATATGTGTCTCCTTTTTCCTCCCTTTGTTTAGCAGATACAAGGGCTGAAGCACTATCTGTCACTACTTGAACGACATTCTCTTCTCCAATTTCCATCACCATCTCATCAAGTAATTCAAACATTTTTTCAGCATCTTTAATAAAGCTGCTTGTATCAACAGATTTTATAAAAACAGTCCCTCTAGGACTATTAACAAGAAAATTAGTAAGAGATCTACCCTTTCCATCAATCCATCCATCTGACATCAATGTACAACCAGTTTTCTTCTATTCCAACTTATATTTATCCAAACTAGTATGGACAAGATCAACTTCTTTCTTCAAATATGACACCCTCACTTCATGATAAGTTGGTGGTTTTAAGCCTCTACCATATTCACTAATAGACTTCACCATATTAATAAATAGTGGACTCTTAACTAAATTAAATGGCAATGCATTGCCATATATGCATCTACAAATATCTCGAACCACCAAATCTCTATCCTTCACCATTGAATTTATAGTTTGTTGTTTCATAGCAGATGAGCCACTTCCACTTTTTCCTTTTATCATAAAACTATCCATGCTCCCTTTTTTTTGTGAATCTTTATCATCGAAGCACTCTAGTTCATCATCATCTCTTGCATCCTCTAATATTTTTTTAAATAGATCCCTTATCTCTTCCGGCACTTGTTGGCATGGAGCAACTTCTTTGTGTGTTCCAGCTAGATGGTGCTTCATTCTAAATGCTCCTCCCCACATTGTTTGGGACAATAGTTACATTTAACATTCAACCTATTCCCAAGGGATTTACAATGATCCCAAGTTATATCCTTCTGTTTTTGGGATTTCTTCTTTGGAGCCATTTTTATTATTTCTGTTACTGTAAAAGAGAGAAAAAAAATATAATGTATTTAAATTGAGAACGACTTCAGCACTGTAGCTTTTTCATAATATTATAATAATATAATGTATTCCTCTGATCCTCTCATACATTTTCAATTCAGCTGAGTCATCACTATAATATTTCAATATATTTACAATTTACAAATTCCAATCACAAATCAAATCACCCATTTCAAAAATAGTACCCGTACTCCTTTGCCTTTTGTGAGTCTTCTTCTACATGCTCTCTGAATCTACTCTGTCTTTTGTGAGTCTTCTTCTACACACTCTCTGAATCTACTCCTCTGCAAGTCTTCTTCTACACAGAGTCTGCAAGTCTTCTTGAGCGCTACTCTTTGGGAATTTCTGCAAGGCGTTTTCTCCTCTGCAAGTCTCTCCTTCTGTTTCGTTGCTTCTTATAAGTCACTGCAAGTCGTCTCTGTTCGCACCGCTCTGCAAGTAGGCTTCTGTTTTGTTGCTTTCGCACCTCTCTGCAAGTCGTCTCTCCTTCTGTATCGTTTTTTATTTTTTTGTCTTTGTTGTTCTCTTTCTGTTTCGCAGTTTGCACCGTCGCACCTTTCTGTTCTTGACTTCTTGTTTCCTTTTGTTTTTTAAATGGGATTTTGAATCCCTGATTTTTCTGAAGCAAACAACCTTTCAGATAACAACATGCCGTTCCAAATCCTGCGACTGTTGAGTGTTTTTTTTTTTTAATTTTTTTTATATTTTGAATCGCAAAAAATTTTCGATTCACGATTCACAACCGAATCGTTCGATTCCACGATTCCAAATCATGATTCATGCCAAAAACGATTTGCTATTGCGATCCATATTGATTTGCCACTGTATCGTATCGTATCGCACGATACGTATCGCGTATCGTGCGATACTAACAACCATGGTGTGACGTAGGTATCATGTAACTCATTACTGATTCCTACATTTTTTATTTTTTTTTTGGTTTTTTTTATAGTAAATGTTCTGTACTTTATGTGGCCATAAGAGTGTCTGTTCCATGCATTTTATTGCTGAAAGCATCTGCTTATCTTTAGATATTTGCAGATTGAAGTATAGATGCTAATTGTTACTATTGTAATTCTGTATTTACGACTCTGGATTATTCTGTATTTTATAAAATTTTCAATGAGAAATACTTATTGAGATAGTGCTATGCTAGATGTGGAACTTATCTTTATGTCAAGTCCCTTCAGCTCTAGATCATGATATTGTCGAAAGTGCTAATTCTAGGATTGACATGTATTGTGAATGTATTTTGAAATTGACTGTTCATGAAGAGTTCATGGTGATTTATGCTGCATGTTTTTAACTTATACTGTCTGGCTTCGATAATATCTTAAAGATCAATTTTTTCCTTTAATTCTCCAGATATTAATGAAAAAATTGAGACATTTATCTCATCTTGTTGTTTGTGATACCTAGCCATTGTAGTTCACTTGGACAAGTAAATCTACTTCTATTTGTTGCAACTTATGTATTTTGACAATATATCAATATCACCTTGCTCTCTGATTTAGTTTCACATTTCCAGGTTGAAGATCATTTGCGTCAACTCCCAATTGATGCACTTCCTGGAATAGGGCATGTTTTACAGGAGAAATTGAAGAAGCAGAATATTCACACTTGTGGAGAATTGCACATGATTTCCAAGGTTTTATTTACTATTTATTCACTTAATATAAAGTTTTGTTGAGATATTCTGAAAGTTCAGTCGCTTTCCTTTTGAAGGTCAATTTGTAACGTTTGCTTTCAGCCTGTTATCAGTGTTCTTCCACTGGTCTTAGAGATTTGGACATTTGGGCAGGACATGGTCTGACTCCTGAATTTAGAACCCTTATTAAAATAGATTAGAGACTTGGAAGAAACTATTTTTGACTTACTGAAATTTCAGAAATTTTATAGAAAACAATATGTTAAGATGCTCCAAGATCACTGAAAGGTCGCTGGTTTGGATCTTGAAAACAGTCTCCTTGCAAATATGTAAGGATAAAGCTACATATAGTGATTTCCCTCATCCCTATCCTCACCAGTTGAGGTTTGATGGGGAGTGATTTTATATAGAAGACAATAGTTATTGAAAATGAAAAGTTCATTTGAGCAAAAGAAAAAAACAAAGAGGCTAGAATTTGTGGAAAGAAACTTCAAGAACTACAGCCCAATTTTATTCAAGGATCTAATCATCAGAACAAACTCATTTTTACATTGCTACTTAGTTCATTTACTTGCATACTCTGTAGTTGTGTTGCACTTTCCTTTCGGGCATTTAGTTGATAAGCATTTGTAATGTTCTATATTGTCTACCCGCTTGCATCTGCAGGCCTCACTGCAGAAAGACTATGGAATGAAAACGGGGGAAATGCTGTGGAATTGTAGCAGAGGGATTGATAACCGGTTGGTTGGCATCTTTCAGGTAGGGAAAAAGACCATAATTTTGACTTAATATTTAGCTTTAGCATCAAGACTTGAATGCTCATCATTTTGATTTCAGATGCTGAAAATACTTTGGATATTTTTTTCTAAATATTCTTTTCTATTTTCTTCCATTTTACATGGTGCCAATTTGTTGTATTAAGGTAACCTTTTCATTGATCTATTGCAGTCCTTGTCTAGGGATTGACTAACAGTTGTAAGGGTGAACTAGGAATTAAATTATATAAAGTCTCAGGTTAATATGACAAATGATACCATCATCCGTCATTGTAAATTTGGAACTTGATCATGCTATGGTTCACACCTCAATGTAAAATCATGGTGCCACTAGGAAGTGGCCTGTGTTGCTTTTAATTTCCAACGCAAACGTGGTGTTTTATCTTCTTTTTTTCCTCCTGCGAATGTTTATCATTCTTTCCTAATAATCTTGTCTTTAATATTATTTCATGTAGATGATACTATCTGCATTTCTGCAGGAAAATAAGTCCATCGGTGCTGATGTTAATTGGGGTGTGAGGTTCAAAGATATGAAAGATGTTGGTATCTTATACACTGTGTCTTATTTTTATATTTCTTTTAGCTTACACTCTTACAAAACAGAATCAATCAAATATTGATGTAAAAGTTATTCCAGTGTGAACACTTCCTAATAAACCTTTGCAAGGAAGTGTCATTACGATTGCAATGTTGTGGAGTGCAGGGGCGCACTTTTACTCTCAAGGTAATGGTTTACATTTAGCTGGATAGATTTATTTTTTAGATTATTCAGATATCAGCTTTCTGTTTCAGCTGGTGGCTGTTTTTTGTGATCTGTTTTATTTCTGAAATTGTCATGTATTATTATTATTCTTATTATATGTCAGAGTCAACAAATGGAAATTTGTAAATGTTTTTGGATGCATGGTTTAGATAAAAAAGAGAAGAAAAGATGCTCAAGAACCGGCAAAGTTTATGGGGTGTGGTGACTGTGAAAATTTGAGTCACTCAATAACGGTAAATATCGAAACGTCAAATATGTTTTGTGTATATTAGACAGTCATATTGTCTTCTCTAGGTTTTTTTAATTGTTTTAAGGACTGATTTTGTGTTTGGTACTCTCATCGTAGATTCCTCTTGCTGCTGATAATGTGGAAGTACTCCAAAGAATAGTAAAGAAACTTTTTGGATGTTTTCACATAGGTATCTAACTCTGGCCTGCTCGATCTTTTGATGTAATTGGTTTCCATCATTTTAGTGAATCAATAACTGAACAGTCTGAAACATGTTTGGTTTATCTTCAGAACTTGAATGCTTTACTGCATTTGCTTTTATCAGCAATAGAGATAAAGAAACAACAACCCCATTTGGTGGGCTTAGCTCCATGGATCAATCAATGCCATTTCTTGTTATCAAAAAACAAATTTTCAGTAAATCCATTTATTGCAAGTTTTTAATGGTTTTTGCCAAGTTTGCTTAGGCCTTCCTCAACCCCTTCTCCTAAATAGAGAGTTAAAGAAAACGGAATATTACTTCAAAAAATACAGAAAGTGAGAGTGAAGGCAGTAAAAAGAGAAGGTAGTGTAAATATGGAGGAAAAAAGTTAGGAAACCGGAGAGATATAAAAAGTATAATCTATTTCAGTTCATTTTTTTTCAGTTATATTTTCCCAACATTATTGATAAATTCAGCTAACTTTCAAATGAGTTATGGACTATTGTTGCAATTTTGGGACAAAATGAAGATGAAAAATACCTCTAGGTTAACTTCAGTATAGAAGGGAATCAAAGGGGAATGGTTCCCTTTGTTAGGTACTTTTTGGTTGAATTAGTGATTGACTGAGTCTTTCTCAGTGTGAAGGGAATTCTCCCTTGTGAAGAGTATAGCTCTTGTGTTCTTTTTTCATAATCAATAAAGCTTTCCTTTTCATCTTCAATCCTTCCACTGCACCCCATTCAATTTCCATCTCTCAAAATCCAGAGCTGTAACAAGTGGTTATCCTTGTCACTTCCATTCTTCATTATTGGGTCTGTGCTTCATTCATGGCTTAACTCCAAAGTTTTAGTTCTGCATGAGGGGCTGTATTAGAGATATGAAACCATTTTTGTGTCTCCACTTCACAGCTTAAACTTTTAAATGATTGGTTCTTGACAAGTTCGATTGAGAAAAAGCCCTAGTTGTTAAAAAAGCTCTTGTTTTTGGTAACTAAAAAGCTCAAAACTAAAACAAAACTGACAGGTTTAATGTTTCTATACTATAGAAAGGGTGATGGTTAGGAAAGTTATACAATTTTAGATGCTTTGCTGATAGACCAGAGTTGTATTAGCCTTGAGTTTATATTGAAAGTATCATCAGACACTTATAAGGTGAATGGCTTCTGGTTGTAAATTGTTTATCATATTCTAAATTAAATGCTTGCATGTCAAGCACTTAAGGTCATGTTTGTTTAGCAGTAGCTATTGTTGGTATTAGACTGTTTTGAAGTGCAGATATTGGGTTATCATTATAACAAAATTAGATGCTTGCATGATGATGACACTTATGTCCTTGAACTAAATATTTTAAAAATTTTATCCTTAACATGTTATATAGTGTTTCAGCCCAAGACTTTTAGCAGGGAATCAATATCTCTTCAGAAATTGGATATCTAAACATCTTCATCTTCTCCTTTTGTTGATTTCACATAGATGTCAAGGAGATTCGAGGTATTGGCCTGCAAGTTTCCAGACTTGAAAGTGCAGAGACTTCTAAGCAAGGTACCTGTATTATTCTGATGAAGTGTAACCCTGCTGTGCTGTAATAATATATTATTTGGTCCTGCAAGCAACTAAATTTAAAGGCAATGCCCATTACGGAACTAAATGAAAACATTTTTATTTAATCTGAGATCTGCTATTTTGACATCTTTACATCCCTCTGTCCAGACAAAATTTGCTGCTTTTCCTTAGTTTTGAACTTTGCTTTTTGTTTTTTTTAATAATTTTATTATAGTTGTCTAACGTTATTTATTTCATGAAGGTACAGAAAAGTATACTTTGAAATCATGGCTCACTTCAGGATCTGCAAGTATAGACAAACAGAAATATCCTATTGGTAATGGAAATTGTTGTCAAACTGGGGTTACTTATTATGCTATTATTTAGAAGATGATTTTTGCTGCAAATTATATATGCATTTTCATTTTATTTTATTTTTCATTTTGAGATTTTGTTAATGATGAATTAATAAAAATAGCTTCTGGTGGTTTCTCTTTCATCAGTACATGACAAGCAGAATATGGATTGCACTTCCAGTGATGGACGTAGAGATTTGCAAGGGCCTTCATTTCAAATGGACAATAAAATACTAAATAACCAAGCCAGTGGTGACCCAATTTCAACACCACCTCCTTTATGTCACCTGGACGTGGAAGTTATAAGGAACCTTCCCCCAGAATTATTTTCAGAATTAAATGAAATTTATGGAAGGAAGTTAGTTGATTTTATTGCTAAAGGGAAAGGCACAAGTGAGAATTCTTGCTCTTTAGAAGACTCGTTTTTGGAGCAAAAAGGTAAGCCTTTCTCTGTTTCATTGGTGTAGCTACTTTGGACTAATACTCAAATTGCTACACATGCTTTCATATTGTTTCTTAGCAGCTGTATACAAGGAAGTGAAACTTTCGTATTCTGAGCCAATTCCTCAAAACAATCTACTATCAGAAAATAAGGTAATTTTTTTTAAAAACTTGTGTGGTACTAGGCTGGATAAGTTTGATTTATTTGAAACAATTACTTCATTACACATGCTTCTGCCCATGGATCACCAAAGTAAATGAGCTTAGTATTTACCCAAAAGAAATAAAATATGAGCTTAAAAAATAAAGCTAAAAGCTGCTTGTTAATTATATAATTTTTTTAGCTTAAAAGCTATTTTAAAGCTTAAGCTATAAGTTATTTGGTAAAATTACTTATATAAGCTCTATTTCTAATTGGAATTAGCATAAAGTGTATATAATTACAAACCTTTATATATTAAAATAAACACAAATATGATAAGAAATAAAAGAAAAATTTCTTAAAAAATGCCAAGTATTCATTTATCAATATATTTAAAAATAAAAATGAATTTATTTATATAAGTATATTTATGTACTAATATATCAATTTATAAAAAATATATTTAAAACATTTTCAGATATTTTATACTAATATATCAAATACTTATTTGTATAAATAAACATTTTCAGAGCTTTTTTTAATATATAAATATTCATTCTCTTTTCTGGGATGTTTTTGTTGGATGAAACTCTCCAATCTGTGATTGTTCTGATGGGGAAGAGAAGACGATGCTCGGGAAGGGAATGGAAAGAAAAAATAACATTTTGAAATGTGAGGATACAAATGGAAAACATACAGCTGGCGCCATTTTTAAAAAAAGCCAGAATGGAGAAGCTTCCTGAAAAGCTACTTACTTTTTTCTTTGATGATGAAAAGCTACTTTTCTTAAAAGAGCTTTTGTTAAATAGTGTTTGGCTTATTTCTCCTTAAAAGGAGAAGAGCAGCTCAAATTTTTTTGGCCAAACTGGTACTTAGTATGTTTTTCTTTAATTTGTATTTATTGTTCTATTTTTTTAAGAATTTTTGATTAGCAACATATGTTATTATTTACTGCAGGCAATGCAGCATGAAGCAGTTGGAGGTGAAGCAATACCAGGTTCAGGGTCTGGACCCTATTTCAAGGTTACTCACAATTCGAGTTTTGAAAAACATGATTTATTGCCGTCTTCTTTAAGTCAAATAGATGGTTCAGTGTTACGACAATTGCCGGAGGATTTGAAAGCAGTCATTGTTGAGCAGCTTCCTGCACACAGGAAGCAAGGGATTTGCTCCAATGTTGCCGTGGCCCCTCCTGGGGAAAACCATCAGGTGTTGTTAGGTATCGAAACTTCTGAGAATTATCCTGGATCAAGTGATCATGTTTTGAATGACAGTCTTTGGGCTGGGAATCCTCCACATTGGGTTGATAAGTTTAAAGTCAGCAGTTGCTTAATATTAAAGAAACTTGCTGAAATGTATTACAAATCAGGGTTGACTAGCACTTTATCTTCAGTTCTGCACCAAATTATATCGGAATTTCACCAAGTAAATCTAGCCCATCAGATTTCTGATGAAACTGTTAACCTCATGTGTGAGCTACTGAAGCAGTATATCAAAGTGAAGATAGAAAGAGATATTGAAGAGATTTATATATGTTTTCGGCTTTTGAAAAGGTATGTTAACGTTGCAAGTTGGTATGGTACTCTATTGAAAGGTTTATTCTTTTTTATACGTGATTATGTGCTTATTTCCTTAGTATCTCCCTACACAGATTTTGTTAGTATCCATTTTGTTTGTTTTTGGATTAAGTATTGTCCTTTAGTTAGTGATAACGGAGATTTTGCTAAAGTAGAACTTGAATGGATTAAAAGTGAGGTTAGTTTATTGGTAATAGACTGTCTTCTATGTGTTTGTAACTTTGTACCACCATCTTTAGGCTCATATCCAGTGAAGATCATGTGAGCTTGGTGTTTTGATAAATTCCTGAAAATTTTGTACTATACTTCAGCTTTGATTAATGATACAGTTAAACAATTATTAAAGAATAATATGAAAGCGGTGGTTGTTAAGTCCAACTCAGTTTCCTTGATTTTTGGACTAATATTTTGTGACAATCTTTGCAGTAACTCAGAATTTATTTTCAGGTTTGCAGTGAAGTCACAATTTTTCCTACAAGTGTATAATATTGTATTGCCATACCTTCAGGTATACCTACTTCCTCTTTCACTAATTGTTTAAATACAGAAATTACTCTTTCAATATTAAATAAGTGTATCTGTTTCTTCCCCTAATAAAAGAAGAAATTTATTTGTGAACAGAAAAAATTACAAAGAGAACGGAGGATAAAGACTCCTTAACAAAAGAGCAACACAAAAAACAACATCCCTCAACATACGTGTTTTACACCAAATAGATGCCAAATGATGTGCTAAAGAATCCTCTGTAAAAATAGGAGAGTTCTTCTCCAACCAAATGTACCAATTGTAGCATAGACTGCACATTCCATAAAAATTTAGCCTCTTCACTTATGCCAAACTATTAAAGCTAATCATCAATAATTGGTCCAGGGACTTGGGACACACCCAAAATTCACTGAAAATGCTGAATAAGGAGTTCCATAAAGTGTATCTTCAAATTTCTTTTGTTTATAATCATTTTTGTTAACGATTGGTTCCTTTTATGTTCCTTATCCTTTTACCTTAAACATGCTGTTCGATAGTGTTTAATAGTCTTGTGCTAACAAGTAACAAGTCTATTTTGACATTGGAGAAACCGAGAAACCATAGTTACAGAAAGTGGACCAAATTAGTTTGTTCGACTGGTTGGACTGCGAACTGGTCACCTTGCTGGTCAGGTCAAGGTATAAAAACCTCTGTTGTAAAAAATATTAAAAAACAAAAAAGAAAAACCCTGGCGAATTGCTAGTCAACATTGCTGACTAATTACGTAGCCCCATTTTTTTTTTCCAAAAAAAGTAAAGCAAGAGGCTAACGTACACTATGTGCACTGATGGCCTGCATACAGCAAGGGACAGGAAAGACATGCATTGTAAGGGCTTCCTCTTAGCTTTTAATAACTACTTCATGATTGGAAGCTTTCTTGGTTCTTTGGAGTGGGACTTCAACTTGATGTATACTACTATATGCTGAATGCGTAATCATGTATATAAATATATTGTTAGAAACATGTATTATTATGGCTAGATTCAATGTAAACGTCTAGGTTCAGGGTATCATGTAAATATAATAATTAGGAAAAGTATATCTTTGTATTTATTACATTCATTATATGCTTCTCTTTTCTCTTTCTATATATATATTTGATCATACCCCGGTTCCAATTTTGTAGGCGGCTGTTGATGACAGTTATGGAGGGAGTTTGTTTATACCATCATAGTAGCTCTCAAATAGTCAAATATATACCACTTTCTATGGGAAACTTAAACAAAACTCCGTGGTTTAACTGGATGAACCTATGAGGTTGGGTCACAATTCAGCAGTTTCTATCCACCACTTTCCTACAGAGTATGTTTGAGTTTACCATGAGAGATAAACATTTTCTGTAGTAGTGTATGTGCTTCTTTTAATGTATGTTGTATTTAATTTCTAATCAGTTAATTAAACATTCATCTTATTGATAAATTTGCAATTTTATGTTACATTGTTTGCATTTTTGCGTTGTGCTCGAAATGTATGAATTCTCCTTTGGTTCTACAAGACCTTTTTTGTGATGTTAAACTTCTCACATTAACCTTTTCATTACTACTTACTCATTTCTTGTATGTCTTTGTGGCTGTGCAATATGAATAGTGTAGCTCCTTTGATCATTTTCTAAGATCAAGAGAATTGAGATTTTCTTGCTTATGGCTTCAATAACACTTGCATAACTATTGAATCAGGCATCAGTGTTGCAATTGCAACTGGGAAAAGGGTAGATTTGGTCATCTTGGAGAGCCATAATAAACCTTTACATTACTACTTAGTCATTTCTTGTATGTCTTGGTGGCTGTGCAATATGAATTGTGTAGCTCCTTTGTTCATTTTCTTAAATCATTTTCTTACATCAAGAGAATTGAGATTTTCTGGCTTATGGCTGCAATAACACTCGCATAATTATTGAATCAGGCATCAATGTTGCAATTACAACTGGGAAGGGTAGATTTGGTCATCTCGGAGAACCATAATATGACAAAATTTGTGGAGAAAGTTTCTTGTATAATTCATTGATGCTTTGCTGCTAACAAACGAGGTAATTTGTCTGCATGATCTGAGTTGTAACTAGGGTTGGTATGTATATATAGATTTATTCGTCTTTATTATCTGCATATAATTACTTTTGGGCTGGAGGGAAAGTTGGTTCATTTAGCTGGATGTTTATTTGAATAGTGTTTTCTACAGATGTACTCAACTATTTTAGTTGTGGTTGAAATTGTACCTCTAGTTCCCTCTGACTCTTCCATCTGCATTTAAGCTGCATGCTGATCTTGGGATTTATAATCTTCATAGTCACTGAACATGAGATAGTGGAAAATATTTTGTATTACTTGGTCTTGTTAGTTCACCTCAAGGTGATATGAATTTTGGTAGATATTTCTAGATGCTACAAGGATCAAGCCATTGTTATGAAACCTACATGTTGGATCCTATTATGTCCTTGTGCTGCATCCTGCAGGGGTCCAATACCGAAAATCAGTTTTATGTATTTAATCATCATAAATTGTAGCAGGTTTGGGTTATGTTTGGACATGGAAAGAGTTTGTCACAGTGAAGTCGAAGGACTGCAACTCAGTCAGTCAAGAGGCAGAAGATTAATTAATTACATTTTTCATTCAAATTAGACGTCACTTGATGGCAACCACAAGTCACAAGGCATTGGGTGAGTAGCTTTCTTGCCGCTGTCTATTGTAATTTGCAACGGTCACTGCTCCTATATCCATTGCATCACGTTGGAAGCACCGTGAAGCGAAGAAATTTGACCCAGCAATTATATTCTCCAATGAGCAGCCGATTTAATTTGGCTTGATCTTTAACCAATATAGTGGTGGTAGATGCGAATTTGATTATTAGTTTTTTGCTTCAAAGAATTGTTTATATAAAGTGTTAAAGACCATTGAGAGATGGTTGACTTGTGAATAAGGACCATTGGTTCACATCCGAAACCTAAACAGACTGCCGAGTTTTGCTTAGACTATTGACTTTGATATGTTTACAATACATATAGATATGGAACCAGTTTGCATCTTTCTTCCTTTTCTTTCCGTCTCTTTTAGCATTTCTTTCTTTCTTTCCCCTCCTTTGTTGTTGTTGGTGTACATAAAAATACGAAGTGTATGAAACTAACGACACTTATCCCTGATGAGTATATCTAATCTAACGGGAAAATATATATAAGCTACGTTAGAAATGTAACTATTATTTATTTTTAAAATAACTACTAGTTTATGACAGAAAGTAAAGATACAATTACGGGAATAGATCTTTGGTGTTACTGTTGCACCAAAGATTCAGTACAATCCACCAATAAAAATATTATATGTCAGCTAAAGTTTTTTTTTTTTTTTGCTAAATTTTTTCTCTCTCCTATGATGTGTAATGCTCCCATTGGTGAGATACACTGAATCTTGGTGCAATAGTAGCACTAAAGATTTATTCCAATTACGGGTGATCAGGTTGGACTTGGTTGATTTAAGACAAAATTAAAAAAAATAAAAATTAATCAACGTTATTTTGGGTTCGATTGAGATTTTATTATCAATCCAAAGTAATTCAACCTAATTATGGTCAGGTTGGTTCTGGTTAGGTGATTAGGTTAATTTTATTTAATTTTTTAAACAAATTTCATCAAAATGGTGTTGTTTTATATCTAAATTTTTAGATATTATTTTGAATATTATATTATATAAAATTATTTTTACAAATTAATATTTATAATGACTAATATACTAGAATATAAATTTTATACACTCAGACATTGAACTAGTCTACAAGTTAATGACTTGAACATATAAAAGATTAAGCTCGAATCATTTAATAAATAAGCAAGATTTTCAGTTCAAGTTTAACTCATTACCTCGTGAATTATTAATAAATCGAGTTACGAGTAGTTTGTAAGTTGTCTCAAATCATTTTCAACTCTAATAATATAAAAAAGAGAGTAAAGGAATATAAACAAATGTATTTTATAATTTGGTGGGAGATGCAGCTGCCTGGTTGGTAGCCTTTTCTAAGATTTGGTGCAAACCTTTTCTAAGATTTAGGGCAAATGTGTAAAGCTAAAATGACCTCAAATCTCAGAAGTCAAGATGGACAAGGTAAACAATTTCTGCATGGTATCTGAAAATGATAAATTGCATACCACTGCCGCCAGCATGTGTGGGTTGGTGCTGTATAGTATATGTGTGGGGTAAACAAACCGCGCAAAGCTTTGAGAGCGAGACATTTGACCATAATGAGAGTCCTCTAATGGGAAAAGGAAATTGAGCATTTTGTATTAGCATAGGTTGAGTCCAAAAAAGGAGACACCTCTCCTCTCTGCCTAAAACACATGTTTCCGAATAATACTGCTTATGTAATCACCCAAATGAGTTTAATTTTAATTTATTATTATTATTATACATTATCACTCAAATCATATATATTATCATTAAAAGTAACTAAATAATAATTACTCAAAAAATCAAACTTTCCAAATAATTTCTTAATATATGATTGATCAGTACTGTTTGTATAACAAACCTTTCCACTTACAATCAAAATTAAATACTATTGAAACAATGATTGGTCATATTATAAATATAACTGCGTTTGGCTTTGACGAAAATAATCAAATTGTAATATCCAACACAATGTAGGGGAAAGAAACTGGAATCCGGAAAAATAAAAAAGAAATTATTAGTAGAGTTAAGTCGAAAAAAGAATTTGGTAGCTTAGGTTTTAATAGTAAAATAAAATATATCAAAGTCAGAGCACACAACCAGAAACTTCTATACACACAGAAATATTCTTTCTGACTAATTGACTTATTCCTAATATTTAATCTTGTACAAGATAAATGCTTCAATAGTCAATAAGCCGTGTTCTATACGTTTTAAAAGTACATTTTTCTGCTTTTCCTTATTTTATTTTATTTTTCCTTTCACACTATTTGCGGAGTCTGATTTCAATACTGAAAATTAAAAAGTAATTGTTTTGGTCTCATTCAAACTTTAAATTCAAAACCCTCCAACTCCGGCGCTAGCCACATCAACTAAAGTCAAAAAACAAAACATGCCTTCATTCAATCTTTTAATTCCCAACACATTATATATTATATTATTATATATAACATTCGTGACCATGCTCCAAACCACACCATTCCATAGTATTCTGTGTTTTGGAGCATCTTTGAGTCCCAAACCGCTATATACAAGAGAAACAATTAAAATGAACAAGGGTTATTCTATTGTAGCTATTTTTGTGATCATGTTGTTTCTCTTGGTCTCATACTCCATGAAGGTTGAAGGCGTGAGACCTCTCAAAGATGAATCTTCTTCTTCTTCCTTCATAAGTTCAATAATCAACCGGGCTTATTCTGGGCCAAGCCACAGAGGACGCGGTCATTGAAGTTGTGTCTTCTTCAACTGATCACTTTATTATATGTTCTTTTTTCTCTCTAGTTATATATAATAGACTTGCTTTGGCAATTCTGTTTGATACTTAAGCAAAGGAGCAGGATAAAGGGTCCAAGTCATGTGACTCCCACTTTCTCAAGTAGTGTTGTAATTGTTTGCTTTAATTTGTTCATCGAAATCAATACATTAATTATACAAATGTAATTTACTTTTAGTATACTTTCCTGTTGTGAGAAAATACCATTTCTCTTCAATATGATGTAAAAAGAAAAGAGAATGGTACAACAAGGTTAATGAAACAGTATTGATTCTATTTAATATTCAACCTCAGCATTTTTGTTTTCGAGTCCAAAAACTGCCAAGTGTGAAAATAACTCTTTTTTCTCTGTGTATGTCTATTATGAGTGAACGTGAGGTAACTTCTCTCATTTCAGAACCCCTTCCTCCCTGGTTGCAACATGATTTTTTTTTTCTTTTCTTTCTCTCTCGCTATGTAAATACATACACTTCACCAGACACCAACCAAACCAACTAACATTATAAGGAATTTCATTAATTAATCACACGCGTGATTCGAATCGTATTTTTATAGCCCTGTTGAGATATATAGTAACTAACGTGGAGTTTATAAGGTCTTGGGCACTCCCACCCTTTGAGCTAGCTTTTTGGGATGGTGTATCCAAGGTTCTTTATATGGTATCAGAGCCTCACCGCCCCCCACTTTTTCTTGTGGCGTTTCTTAGCGCAGGTAGGCTGGGCCTGTTGCATTGTCCATTCTTCAAGCTCAATGGACTCTCGTGTGAGGGGGCGTGTTGAGATGCTAAAGGCTGAATTTAATGCAAGTAAATCCAGCCCCGTATCCAAGGCAAACTATTGAAGATATACTCGTTAGTCGTTCCCAAATTTATCCCAAAAAAATTTTGCAAAAAATATTGTATGTGATACAAGTAAAGAAAAATGAAAAATATATACACCCGTGTTTCATAAGGAAAACTTTGGCTCTTCATTCATAGTAGCATGTCAGATATGTTCATCGTCGACCGCTGATTTCATCAACACGAAAAGTAAAATCTAGTTTACACCCAATAAAATAAAATTTAGTTTCCCAAACTGTATTAATAGTCATACTTGCTCTCTCCAGCAATATATGACTATGGCACTGATTAAGTACGAACTGGAAATGAGGAAAGATTGATTAGATAAGACAGATAAGATGAAAAGCTCGGCACAAATTAAATCTTAGGTTTGATTCAGATATAATTTTAAAAAAATATAAATACATACTAAGGAAAATATTAAAAAGCTTGACGTTATTTTGACGTAATTCCCGCCATAATATTAGGTTTTGGATAAATGAATGGCATTATCAATTTGTGTCAATTAATATTAGGGCAAATTTTTTCTGCAGGCAAATGAATTTGTTTTACTGCACTAACATAGAAAACCGTGGCTCACTTTTTTCTTTTTTCTTTTTTATAAAATGATAGGATCCATTGTTTCTTTGTATCGGCAGGAAGTTGGGTAATTTTTTTGCAAAAGGAGAAAAGCAAATCCCTTAATATTATGTATTTTTGGCTATAATTATTACTCAATCTATGCATGAAAAATATGGCAACAAGAACATCTCATTCTCATTTTTTTAAGTGGGAATGTGAGAGCTAAAAATGAGTGATCCTCTTTTCTAGAAATTAACGCACTGGGTTGAATACTCAGTCACCAACACATGCAGTCTTAACTACCTCTGGTGTTTCTGTCATGCATGTCGCATGATGTCGGCGCAAACACTCAACTCTGCTACACAATTCACACGTAAGGTCTTCTCGCAAAGCAGGAAAAACGTGCAAAATGTCAGCTTTATTGTGGAGGACATCGATGGAGTCGCATAAAATATGTTGGAATTAAGCTACTCTTGCAATGTGAAAACAAAGATCACAGGGCAGGGACAGAGATGGGACCAAGGTTACAAAGGAAAATATATATGATGGTTTGTTTACCTTATTATTTCAGCAAAAATCTAAACTTCACAGCATATGTAATCTATTCCATTATTTTATGTGGTATTGCCTGAAGTGGTCATTTTATATTGTACGTTTACTCCTCCTCTTCTATATATATAGATGAGATGATTCTAAAATTACGCTTAGATCCCCGCTTATAGAGGCGTCAAAAATAAGGCGAAACGCCCTTTGTGAATAACATGACATCAATTTAAAATGCTGATGATTAGGTTCAAATAAGGTCTATTTTTATTGTCCAAGAATAACATGCGAATGTCATCATTATCTTCGAGCTAGTCCATACTTTGGCATGTAAATTCCATTTTCTTCTAGTCAGAAAAAGGCTTACGATCGAGCCAGCTGCTTAATAAATAATTTACAGAGTCACTAACATCTCGATCAATTGACAGAACTCTCACAAACTCTTAGGTTGTACGTATGTACTATACAATTAGTTAAAACAAAACAATCAGATGATTTTACAATATTAACTAGTTACGTTTTCACTTCTGGTGATGTAAGCGAATGAGGCCCAAGTGGAATGGGTTTTCAGTTTTGAAAAAGAAATTAGTAAAGAATATTAAGTATCTCTTATTATGTATCATATATATTTGAGCCCTTAGTCT